CTGGTTACGAGTGAAGCGGATTATGCGCTATGTTAAAGGGACTTGTGCCTTCAGAATCAAGTATAAAGCATAGCATTTACCTGGTCTTTTAAAAGATTTCAGTGACGCTGATCACGGAGGAGATAGTGATACAGGAAGATCTACTACTGGTGTAGCCTGTCTCTATGCAGGTGGATTAATTTCATGGTTGAGTCAGCGGCAGATATCAGTTGCTATTTCTACAACAGAAGCTGAACTCGTAGCATCTAGTGAAGCAGCTAGAGAACTTGTTTGGCTTAGTCGTATACTGCAGAAGATGACAGTATTGAGAGAAATACCAGTACTGTATGTCGACAACGAAGCAGCTGTGCGCCTTGCCCATAATCCAGAGTTCCACAAACGGACTAAACACATTCGCATTCGGCACTTTTACGTGAGGGAGTTGGTTGCCGAAGGTGTTTCTGTGGAAAGGGTTGATACGGCGCATCAATTGGCGGATGTATTTACCAAAGCGTTACCCAGCAAGACTTTCCATTCATTGTGTCGCGCGCTAGGTCTTGAAGTGTTGAACAAGGGAAAGTGTTGAAGTAGTAGAAACTCCTTTTTATAATAACATATTCAACAAAAACTAGACTAGTGCATTTAAAGACATTTTTTTATTATGAACAGTTGTCATGTGTCAATGTGTATCTTATAAAGAAGTACAGAATATAAATTTGTGTTTTTTCAAAGTTCGCGCAAGATATAATTAATAGAGATCCTGGTGATAGGACTAACAATCTTCACCACTCCACTGCTAATAAAGTACTGTTACTGTATACTTCATCATGCAGAAATGTGGTTCAATATAAAACCCGATTTATCGAACATCAGAAGATTTGGATCTACAGCTTATTTTAAAACAAATTTTGGATTACGAAAACTTAATGAAAGATGCAGCAAAGGAATACTCATCGGCTATGTTAGAAACGGCTATAAAATTTGGATGGATATTGAGAAACGAATAATATGAGCAAGGGATGTAAAAATAAATGAAGAAGAACAAGGTATATATTTAGATGATGAAGAAAATATGGTTAAAATAAATGGACTCTGGCAGATGGATGAAAATGAGCAAACAGAAGAAGATGAAATAAGTCAAAATTCAACAGAAAGCAATGGAGGGCGTCGAGGAGTTGAAGATAGGAGAGGTAGAATTTCTAAAGAAACAAATGATAGTCAAACAAGTGAAGATAGAAGAAAATATGGTGAAACAAATGACAATCGAACAAATGAAGAGAGAACAAATAATGGTGAAACAAATGATGGTCGAATAAATGAAGTAAATAGAAAAAATGTGAATAAGGGCAATAGTTTTGAAAGTGGTTTTATTTTTGATAACGTTATACAACATGAAGAAAATGAAGAAGTTTTTGATAATGAACAAATGGAAGAAAATTGGAGTCGAGAGGTAGTAAATATTGAAGAAAATCAAAGTCGAAAGAATGTAGAGACTGAAGAAGAAAATAGAAAAAGTTGTGAAGAAATTGAGGGAAGTCGAGCGGTGGAAAATAATAGTAGAAGAAAACAACCTGAAAGAGATAGAAGATTACCAGAAAGATACAAAGATTATATAATGGAATATGGTATGGAAACGTCTATGTTAACGTATGAAGAGGCTTTAGAATCAAGAGAAAAAGATAAATGAAAAAAAAACAATAGAGGAAGAAATCAAGTCTTTGGAAGACAATAATACGTGGACATTCGTGGATAAAAAAGAAGCAGAAGGAAGAAAATTAGTAACAAGCAAATGGATTTTTACGGTGAAACCGGATTAGATACAAAGCAAGATTAGTCGCAAGAGGATTTCAACAAAAATATAAAATAGATTATGATAAAACATATAGTCCTGTTGTAAACACAAATTCCTTGAGAGTACTTTTGTCAATTGTTGCAAATAAAAAATTAAAAATGAAACAATTTGATATTAAAACAGCCTTTTTAAATGGAGATTTGAAGGAATGCATTTATTTAAAAGTTCCAAAAGGTTATAACAATAAAGAAGATAAAGTCTGCAAATTGAATAAGAGTTTATATGGGTTAAAACAAGCTCCATTAATGTGGAACATTAAATTTACAGAATTCTTACTTAAAATGGAGTTTAAACAATTAAAGTTAGATCAGTGTATTTTTGTGATGGAAGGTAAAAGAAGAATAATTCTTGCGATTTATGTTGATGACGGTTTAGTAGTTGGAGAGAAAGAAGAAGATCTGTTGCATATAGTGGAAACGTTGAGAAAAGGATTTGATCTAAGAATCTGCGAAGAAGTATGAAACTATATCGGGCTGGAAATAAAACAAGAAGAGAAAGGAGTGAAAATTTGTCAAGATATGTATATCGAAAAACTTTTGAAGAGATTTAATTTAAATGAAGCAAGAGAGTGCAAAACCCCAACAATCTTAATAGAACAACATCCTAAAGTGAAAGTAGATACAGAGAGTCATGAACTATACCGGGAAATGATAGGATCATTGTATTATCTGGCCAACAAAACGAGGCCAGACATTAGCTTCCATGTAGGGTATTGCTCGCGCCAACAAAGTGCTCCAAATTTAAATAATGCAAAAACTATTTTAAAATTTTTAAAAGGTTCGATAAAGAAAGGCATTCACTATACTGAAGGTGATAAAGTGCTTCGTAGTTACTGTGATTCAGATTTCGCGGGGGATCCAGACACTAGACGTAGTACATCGGGTTATGTGATTTGGTTGAACGGTGGACCAGTGGCATGGAGTTCAAGAAAACAGCCGATTGTAGCTTTATCGAGTACGGAAGCAGAATTTATAGCTGCAGCAGAATGTTGCAAAGAACTTTTATTAATTAGAGATTCGATATTTGAAATGACCAATGAAAAATTAGAAATAGAAATAAAAGTGGACAACCAGTCAGCTATTTGGCTTATGAAGAAAGGTATTATGAATAAAAGAAGCAAACACATAGACGTAAGATACTACTATCTAAAAGATCAGATTGATAACAACAGAATATCGGTCAAATATTGTCCAACGGGTTCACAGTTAGCAGATATACTTACTAAGTGTTTGCCACCAGTGAAGTTTGAGAGGTGTCAAAGAAAACTCGTATCAGAGTGATGTTAGGTAGTGTTAAGTGTGGGCAAAAGTGAACTAAGTACGTTTTCGGTTAACATGTGGGGTATTAGTATATAGTATATAAGTTTGAAGTGATATAAAGGCGTGATGTAAACTTAAGGTTCCTATTCAATTCATAGTCAGTTAAAGTATTAAGGGGGTGCGTATATTAAAGGAAGTTTTTTTTCTTGGTTAATAATGATTCATTTAAGGGGGTGAGAAAATAATGAAGTTTTAAAATATTTTTTAAGAAAATAAATTAATCATTATATAATGGCGATAGAAGAGTTACAAACTAATTCTTTAAAAAAAATAATTTACAAATATTTGGAGAGTATTGGCCTTAAGTTTTGTAATCATGTTTGTTTGTATTATTTATCATGTTTGTTATTATTAATATTTTTTTAAACTAATGCATTTGATAGAGTTGATATAGAATATGAGTTTAAATTATGTTAGTAGAGATTTTCTGTATTGTCGCAATGAGGAAGTAGGGTAGGTAGGGTAGTAGTGTTTAATTTTTTTTGTATTGAAAGAAGGTTTTTATAATTAAGTGGGTTCGAGTAGGAGTTAATTTTTTGAAGTGTTTATGGTAAGTGGGATCGAGTAGAAGTTAATTGTTTGAAGTTTTTTATGATAAAGTAAGTCGGGAAGGAGATGAGTTAACTGAATGATTTTTATATAGCTGAAGTTTTATGGTAAACAAAGTCGAGAATAAGATAAGGAATTTTGTTTTAAGATGTTAGTTTTAGAGACAGTTAGGGATTTATATATGTGAAATGTAAAGGGATATACAGGAGTTAATAGAGGTTAGGTAAAATGGATCTGAGAGATAGGGAATAAGAAATATATGTATATCTACGGTAGTTTTGGTAGTCATTCTAAATTAATATTTGTAATGGCAGGTAGAAGTCTAAGTTAGGACAGTCAGCATGTGCAACAGATTGAGGGGGTGTGTTGAGGGAGACCTCCTTCTTGGTTTAAGATCTTTTTAATTTTAATTTAAATATTGACAATCTGTTCTGCACATGCGCGTCTATTGTTTACTCTTCGTAAAGCTGTTGTCGGTGCTGTTTATATTTTTATAAAGTACATATATATAATTTTGATGGTAAATAAACTCATGTGATCTAAAAGCTCCCTGGTCTTTCTCTATACCCGTTTTACCATCGGGTATCACTTTACTCGCTGGTGAATACTCTCCGATCCACAGAAAAAACACTGCCTTTTCTGTCGCGTAGCAATGGCTAAATTCTCATCCGACGATGTTGAATAAGGTATTTCACTGACAGCATTGATTTGTGTCTTTAAAAGAGAATCTGTTTTGAACCTATCCCCGATATAAAGGCATCTCGTATATATTCTTGTTTATATTCTTCTGCTGTAACACTTTTGAAGGTACATTCATGAGCAAAATTTTTTAACATTTGTATTCAGGTATCGATTCACCTGTCAGTTGTTTTCTTGTGCAAAGTACATGACGAGAGAATATTTCGTTTTTAGGTTTTATATACGCATCATTCAATCATTTTATATCATCTTTAAACGTAATACAATCTCTTATTATGGAAAATATTGTAGGTGCCAAATGATTAATTAGCAAACGTAATTTAAACTCAGTAAAAATATGAGGACCTTCTTCGTTTAAAAAGTTAGTAAACGGTTCCATTTGAGATCGGCCATCACAGAATTCGGTTCAGATTCAAATCTTTTCGGTCGGAAATAGCGAGACATATTTGACATTTGGTTTGATATTTCTTCCGTAGAACTTTCAGGTTTCTCCTTCGACATTTTTATCAGCTTTCTTCATGTTGATTAAATTGATAGAAATAACCAATTTATCATTAGAATATTGGCTTTAATCAACATAAAAATATTAGTTACATTAGACATATACTGAATTCATATTGACAATGTCAAATAACAATAGATAACATATAAATACTACAAAGGTACTGTATGCAAAATAATGCTAAGGTGACCTTGGCCGAAACTAATTCCAACCGACAGTGTTACTAAGAGTGCCGAAATAAAAAAAAATACATGTCTGTATTACAATCTATATAGATGTAAAATCAATATAAAGATATCAGCATTATACATGAGATAATGTATATAAATTTAAAAATATCTATTAATTTTAGAATAATTTCAAAGATTTATAAATGATGTTATTAATTCAGCAACTTTCTTCCTTTCACAAAATATAGAATTCAATATTGTAGCAGACAATGTCACTAACCAAAACCGATTGATTTTTTTTACTTTTGGTAACATTTTTCTTTGTTAAGTACTTTACTCTCTGCTTTTACTCTTTGATTAGGTACTTTATTATAGTGGCGCTCATTTATCACACAGCTGTGATCTTTGTGTTAATTTTATGTAGTCTAGGGATGTTTTACTTTGTATAGCTAAAATTATGTCTCGAGGAATAATTTTAGGTCATATTAAACCCTCAAATCGTTCATTTTTACTATATATACAGTGTAGTAACGCTTAATTAATCAGTTGTCATTCAGTCATATGTTGCTAATTAGTGATGTCAGTGTTTGTTTACTAATGATATTACATACCTGCTTTCTGAGCACCAAAAACTTTAACTAAGTTTTCGTTATGAATATTTCGGAATCAGTAGAAGAATCGTCATCGAAACGACAAGAAAATGGCGACGCTTCGTGTAGTTCTGAGCGCCCACACAAGAAAGCACGCTTTGCATGGCAAGTTAAAGGCAAATATCACTTGAAAAATGAATCAAGTGACTCGAGCATGCCGACTATGAGTTTAATGAGTGAAACTGATAAAGATGGGCCGTCTTCGGATAGTAAAGACTGTACAAATAAAAGCTTTGTTGGTAATACTGAACAAAATCTAGAGATATTAGGAGATTATCTATTGAAACAGGATTTCACAGATTTCAACTCGCCCACTACGAATACGGACATATCTCTTTTTACATCAAGTCCAAGATTAAATGCAGATGTTGTACATTACCCAAAATATGTGTGCTCTTTTAACAGTAATAATAGATCTAGTTCCACATTTGACATAACTAATAATGCTGAATTTGTAGCAGTACCAATGTCCATGATTGTTTCACAAAGTTACCGTGAAGATGAATGTATAAGCCGTTGGCAATCTAGACAGGTAAAACTAATTTTATGCTATAATTCAAATGAAACATTTAAAAAACATTGAGTTATCCCATCAACTACTTTATGAGTTATCGCAGCACTGAAACTTACTTTGATGATTTTTACATATAAATACATGCAAATAATAAAGTATGTTATTAATTCTTGCTTTCAGATAGCTAAAGGTTTTGTGGACAATATGATAAATCGTGTAATTGACTCATGGACACATGCACCTCTACCACCCCATATGGATATATCAAGATTGGCAGCGTTAGATGCTGCTGAATTTGTCAACAATTTACCTGAACCCTACTCAAGACGACGACTTAATGACTCTATTGAAAATGAAGGAATTCTTATGGCAATTTCAGCACATGGATTACAAAACACTTCAAATTCAAGCAGTAATAATGACAGTGAAGATAAAGAAGAGACATCAAGCACTACAAATAATAATGATCTTGCCTTTTTATCACCACCAAGTAGTCCAGTATACTCTGATGAAGTCTTAACTATAGAATCTAATAACAAGAAACTAGACACAAATGAGTCTCCATTATCAGATTTGTTATGGCCATGTGATGATATTATACAAAAAGACAATGATGAAGATCAACTAACATTCTTTCCAGATAATTCCAATTCTTATCATTTTGCTGCCAGTGACAATATTAATACTTCATTTGAAAAATTTGAAGCTGTTGAAAATGTATCAAGCAGTCACTTTGATTTTATGGATGCAGCTGTCTCATTTGCTATACAAAACAAAGGATTAACAACTTTCGGAACTGATTATGGTTAATACATTCCTGTAATATTAATCTCACAACAACAAAATCTTGGTTATGACCAATATGAATATTTGGAATTGGACACCTCAAAAATTCAAATTATATTTAAATGTTAATTTTCTTCTTTAATTGAGCTTACTTATTAATAGAATTACACAGGTTTATATTAATCAATTGCTTTAGGTTGGCATCCTATATCAAATTTTTGTTATGAATGTCCTTCCAACAGTGCAGGGAATGACTAACTCTTTATGAAGCAATTAAATAGGTACCGAATAAAAAGATTAGTATTTGCTATAAAATTAAGAAATTTATAATATTATTGTTGTTGGGGGGATGTGGATGTTTTAATTTAAGGTACCTTTGTAATCAATTTGATGTAATGGATAGTTTCTTAATACTTGATAAGCACAATACTGAAGTACAGACATTTTATATTAATGAGAGTAATGTAAGTACTAATTGGACAATTGGCACCTACAAAAAATCTGTGTAAAGCATTACAGTTAAAATAGTTTAAAATTTAACACCTTGCTACATAATATTTTGTAATTGGACAAATGTTACATAACTCTCATTAATACAATCATTGTATTAAATTATAATATATTATGTTAATAAGGATGCTTATAATTGTGATATTATCATTGATTCCTGAATATGTCAAATTTATGTATTATAGTACAATTGTTTCAGTTATTGAAACATATCATATGACTGAAAATAAAAAAAAGCAAAAGGAATCATACACTATAGAATATAGTAAAGTAGTTCTTGTTATACAAATTTATTTTAAGGACTTAAAATATTTGTCTATCATTAATAAAATAAGATTTAATTTTATATTCAGTCAGCAGGACTGATCATTATTTTATATTTCTTTAACATAGACTTAGTATACAATATATGCCATACATATTACAGTCAATATAATAATAATGATACTCAAAAAATATTTTATTTGAAATGTTACTATATTTTTAGTACTATACGTACTACGTTTTGAACGTTTTGGAAAGCTAATGTTACAAATTATGTAGGTTTATAAAATAAACAATGGCACAATGTTTATAGCATTCGGTTTGCGATGCATATTTTGTAAGGGCTGGTCTTGTGGCCACTGGCGGACTAACCCGGAGCGGCCAGCAACCCCTCTCCCCCACCCCCTACTGGCTGTACTTAATTATCTACGGGGCCAACAACCTCAATTATTAATTGATAAAGGGACTTTGCAGCCATTTGGAGGCTCCTCAGAACCGGCGGCTCGGGGCGGGCAAACCGTGCCGCCTACTCTTAGTCCGTCACTGCTTGTGACCAAAAATTCAGTGATTTGGGTGGTTTTAAGGCGTTGTTCCAAGCATCTGTTGTCAAGGTTATGTCCCATTTTCTCTATTTGTTTGCATCGATAGGAAAAGCATGTACTCCATCCAGCCAGCGTTTCACGGAATCATGCGTTAGTACTCGCCGGATCATCGGTCGAGTATGCAAGGGCGAATGTAATATCATGTTTGATGTTTGTCCACATTACATTTATTTTCAATATCAAGAAATATGACAACGTGTACACTTCCGATTTAAGTTACAATGGCTGCCTATTCGCCGGCGCAGGGACTTGCACACTCTTACGATTCTTTATTCTACACTTTTCTCCCATTCTCTTCGCCTTATCTTAAAAAATGTTTCTCCTTCCGCTCTTCCTCTACACAATGTTTATTGCATTCCTCGTCCAATCTCACTCTTGAAATACCTCGCCACTCTTAGGCTCGGATCTACGGCTAAGTAACAAGGATAATCAAATAAACACCTACCATTTACGCATCGATGGACCTAAGTTACCCATTTATATTAAGTCCTTACATATGAAAATGGCGTTTTGTCGTACTGGCCACTTTAATCACAAATTTCTCCTCCTTGGTTGGGAATTCCAAATTCAAAGGAGATGGGTAAAGATCGGCCTTTTTTCGCCTATCGGGCAATTCGTAATGTATTATTATTTTCTTAATATTTATACCCAGTAGAAATAAAAATGCTAGGTTTATTGTGAAAATATTTTTATTTATATAAAAAAAAAGAGAAATCTCGGTATATTTGTGATATTACAAAATGTATTTAATTATGCTTCCTCGTCATGTTGGTTGTCTGAATCGTCACTGGACCATCCAGTAGCAGCATCTTCAAATGTATTAGCATATTCAAGACTTGGTGTTTTCGTTTCTGTACGATTATGGCGCCAATACCCCAAGTACCATAATACAGATGCAACATGCGCGCATCAACCGACAACTCTTGCGCCAACTTTGCACTGACAATACCATTCAATGTTTATGATAGGACTTATGGCTGTTCTTATCCACATGTTGTATATTTTTGAGCTTGTATGTCGTGATCTTAACTGAATTCGGATAACTGAGACATCTTCTCGATGAACGTATAGGGAGTACATTCCCGTTTGGCTAATGTGTTCCTGAGTGTAAGATCTGCTTTGTTTTAGCTGATATATTCCAAGAGTGAGATTTCGCAGCTCTTCCCATGTTAACTGTGGGAAATCTGAAAGATCAGATTCGCTTAACGGACGCCATATCGCCTTCTTTCTTGCCCACCCATTTTCTTCAACCATCTTCTGTAGGTGATTAGGTTTCTTCACTAAATCAAGCATCCGTTGGGCAATGATATTGTCGTCTTCATCACTGTTAATCCTTGTTGGGTGAAAGGCATTAAGAATTGCACACACGATTTGAACATAATCTCTAATATATGGTATTTGGACATTTGGTATGACATTATTCTCCAGTTTTTGAGTTGGCCATTTACAGCTTCAACAACCCAACGAACTTTTGTCACCAAGCGTGTCTCATTAGCGTCCTTCGTCACGAATTGTGCCTGTTTATTAATAAATGAAGGCATTATAGGAATTAGGTCCATGTCCTCGAGAAGCTTCAAACAGTCTCGGAAACCTCTGTCAACGATAATAATATCATTAGGTTTAAGCCAGTCTCTGATATTATGAGCATCTTTTTTTAATATATGTGTAAAAATGTTTGCATCGTTATTTTTGGAATCGGAAAAGTAGGGTCCAAAAACATCCAATATGTACCCTGTTGTCGTCACTAACATCATGGGTTTAACAAGCGGTCTTCCTTTATGTATACAATAACATCGTCTTTGGAAAGAATGATTGCTACTTTTTTGAATATAAATATATGTGCCGTCAGCGACAAGAACAACAGTTTCATTATTATCGTCCGGATTAAATAATGTTTTAGCCAATAAACGAGACCTTTCTTTTTTGCGATTCCTCTAATATCTTGCAAAAGAGTTTCAATATCCTTCTCATATAAATGTGTATTATTTGTTATTGGTTTTAAATCCGAAAGCGACGCATCTGTGAATACTTTTTTAGAAAGATGATCTTTGCAACATCGTTTTCCTGCCGTTACATATATTCCTCTTTCAATAAATGTTTGTGTTCGAGCTGCATGAGGTACTGCAACAAGGTTCTTCTGACTATTACATATTATACAACGTACATTTGAATTGTGGCACCGAGGTAATGACAACACTACTTTGGGTTTTTCAGCTTCACATTTCGTACTTGTGGACGGTTCAACACTGTCGGCAATATTCGAAGAAGATGTAGAACGATTTTTAGTATCTAAGTTACGATATGCATATTTTCGGCATGCAGAACATACTTTCTGTCCTTTTTGTAAAGTAAAGTTTTTATGCTGTCTAAGAACAGATATTATTTTGTTATTAGAAACAACACGAAAATCACTTTTACTTTTTAACCACTTTTTACAAGAATCGCACTGAATTCCGGGCATTATTTTTGGACATAATATATGAAAACACACAAATAATTACGCTAACATGTGTCCTCAAAACAAAATAAAAATCCAATGTAGAATTGAACGATAAATATGAGCCTCAGACAAGTCGGAACATATACACGTCGCATGCACGGTAAACTAGCGTTCAAAATGTTTTGTTTTGTATCACATAGGTGCGTTCAATGCACCAAAACAAATGAATGCTAGTTTATATGCTTATTGACCCTAATATAAAAAAAAAATAAGATCATTGTGGTGCACGAAGCGCTTAATGAATTTTTTTAAAGCCAAAGTCCGAAAAAACGCCAAAAATAGCAAAAAATCAATAAACATGTCAAGTTTGAAGGGTTTTTCTTGTTACTTGCCTTTTTATTTTTTTAATCAATTTATTGTAGATGCATACAAAGATACTTAAACTTAATATACATATGATATTAATGGCCAAAATCGAAACTTGGGATTTTCATGAATAAGATAGGCGAAAAAAGGCCGATCTTCACCCATCTCCTTTATACCTACACATGAATTTGTATTTCGTTAGGCGGCATTCGTTTGTTTTTTTTTTTCTTCAGTTTGTCGTATTTAGCAAGTTATATTTCAAGTTTTCATTTTCTTATACCCGGTATAAAAAATGAAATATCGTGTCATTTACGAGTACGAATTCCACCGTGGTACCAGAGCTGCGGAAACGGCTCGAAGGGTTAATGATGTGTATGGCGGTTGTGTCGCAAAAGAAAACAGTGAGCTGTTGGTCCAACGTTTTTGTTCTGGAAATTTCGAAGCAGATCCATTGCAAACCACGTCCGAGTTAGCTGCAGGCTGCGGTGTTAGTGATAAAACTGTTTTAATCCCCTTGAAGCAAGTTGGAAAGATAAAAAAGCTTGAAAGCTTACGACTACTGCGTTACATTACTTAACCGGCACAATAATGAGGGGATTTTAAATCGAATCATTGTGATGAAACGTGGATTCTCTACGATAATCGGAAGCGCTTATCGTAATGCTTGGACCCTACCAAATTAGAAGAACTTCAATTGGAATGTAAGACATCCACCGTACTCCCCAGACCTTGCTCCAACAACCATTTTTTTCGAAATTTGGATAACTTCTTGCAAGGGAAAAAAATCGAGTTTGTATAGTATTTTATAAATATCAAGGCATATTTATCAAGATAATTATTACTCGAAACCTCGATGTATATATAAAAGAATTCCTATTTCCCTTGTCACGCCATTGCACGTGAACGGCTGGATCGATTTCGCTAACTCTATTGTTGCTTGTTATTGCCAAGAGAATGTTCTTATGAAAGAAAAATAAGAAAATTGTGTGGAAAATTTGAAAATTTAAAGGCTGACGACTTAACTTTAACTTTAATTTCCAACTCTGGTGCAATTGTGCACAAAAAAGGGTTCGATTCCAATCCAGACTTCTTTTATACTTTCGATGCTAAATAGAATAAATATCTATTTCCACGGAACCAATTAGTGCTTCAAATAGAAGTCTTAGGAGTTATTAGTGGTGGCAGTGTAAGTTATCTTCGATCGTGAGCGTGTTAAGTTTTATAAAACCGGCACAGCGCCCCTAGCGGTAACAATCAACAACTGCAAATCTCCATACAAATTCTTAACCTGTAAACGCAGGAGCGGATGTACCTAAAGGCTTAACAGGCTGATTCCCAGGGCCTCGTGGATACAAGAGGCCCTCGCCCCCAATAAAAACATTATACAATACGGTACTTTCACATTAATTACTATTGAAAACAGTTTCTTAACAAAATTACAATTACTTCAGTAATTAGCCCTGATTTGTATTTCAAATTCACGTATACCACTCCATAATAGAACACTTAAAAGTCAAATGCATCGAAACAATAGCAAGTCAAAACCATCTTAGATTGTATGCTATTGTATTAATGTACAGTAACACAAAATGTCAAAACTCTTTACCAAGTTCAAAACGATAAGCCAATGAAATAAAAATCCTCGATAACAATTTTATTATTGCTTGTTATTATTCACATAATACAAAATAAACTATGCACAAGTATAAGACCACTGATATCGTTCTATAATTTCATAAAATATTTATTCTTAAATAGAACTTGTTATCATTCACAACAGTTGCGTTGCAGTATAAGTAACACGTACCTACTTAAGTAACATTTACATGTGAAAATAATATACAATAGCAGTCCCCGTGAACCAATTGTGATGTACCAACGGCAATTAAAGTTATTACATTCATGGCCGAATCTTAGACAATAATACTAATTAATAATAAACGGTATGTACAATTAATTATTACCAGTATTCGAAGACGATTCATTTAAATATATATTTACAAGTTCATAGGCAATTAGTTTGAAAAGAAGCCTTTGAAGGTTGGACTACATCTGGCAGTAGGTACGGTATCAACTTTATCCGTCGCGTTATCCATTTCTGTTGCTCAAAACCGCCTTTTGCTAGAGCGAGAAAGATAGCTGGTCTATCGCCTCGAGAATTACTCAGCATGCATTTACCACCCGCTATCTTTCTCGCTATAGAAATTGGCGGTTCTGAACGATGGAAAAGGATGTGGCTATGGTAAAAAGCGATAATACGAACTAATATAATCCAACCCGTATTTGACACGAGCCTATATGCAATACCACTGAGACCTTACTTCAGCTGTTTAATTTTAGTCAAAAACGTTACTTGCTCGTGTTAGATACTTACAACTATTTCATTTGGGATCGGCGCAATATGCATTCTTCTAACATACTTTTTGATAACCTTTCATACATATTCATGACCTTGTTTGTCACATGCAATTCGTTCTTCACATCACATTGTTCATATTAACATTTCAGCTACAATCAATCGACTATCTTCCATACTCTTTACTACCCTTAACACCGATCCATCGGAAATCTCAAGTACCTACTATTAATTAAAAATCTAGGCCCCAGGACATATAGGAAAAATTTGAAGTCAGTGCACCAAATTCAATTGTGTTTGTTACGGTGAATCATAATCATGTTTTCTCTCTCTTTTCTATTAACCTTTGGTTATATGTCTATAAGCACGTTGCTTAAGATATGGAGGCCGATGACAGGTTTTTATTTATTAATTTAAATATGAATTTAAACAAAATATCCGATAATATATTCTGTTAACAATAGCAAAAAGTGCACTGATAACGAATATTTCCTGTATAATTGATAATATTAAAATAGGAAAAAAAAATTTTGCAAAATTGACTTTCAAGGCTTAACAAACATACCAACCTATTAAGTCACTGGGCTTAAAATACACATACAGGTATGCAATACATCACAAAAATATCATGTTCGTCCATTATAATTTATAGAGATTAATATTATGAAATTAATATAGAACGTGCCACGTAACAGGGATGACGACTAAGTATTTTTTTTTGTCCATCAGTTAGATTATTTAAGAATATAAAATACCTACGTATTTTATTTTTTGCGTAATCAATAAATTACGGCGATACGTTGAGTTGAAATATCTCGCGACGTCACGCTTTTGTACATTTTCTACAAAACTGTGACGTAGCGAGCCCCCACCTCAACTTTAATGCCTATTATTTAAGCAATTTATTTTTTAAACCGAAGCAAAAAAATACGGACTTAATAGAATTTCTAAATTATTATTTTTTACCCAGTCGTCACCACTATTGTAGGTATTACGCTTCTAGTGATTAACTAAACTGCCGCAAAGTTATTTGATATATATTGCGCTAAGAGTGTTTTTTAATTTACTATTAAACCAAATAGATCCTAATTTTAGGTACATTTCTTAATAAGTTTAACATAGTTGAATTATTTTGATCACATACTGACCCAATCATCAATAACACTAAGCAGCCCTTCAGACTAAAAATGTTTAACGCAATCAATTTAGATTTCTACGTCCATCAAATTAAGATTCAAAATCGATTGAAGAAATTGGACAGTTATGTATAGCCTGATGTTCTGTTTATTGTATTCATGATAATATGTAAAGTTAAAATCAGCATTTATAATATTTAAGAATAAATGAATAAAATTAGATTTTTGGAGCGAAAACGCAATTCGTAAACAGACATATCTAAACATTTTGAAAGTGGGTGCATAAAAAAAATTGACAATAAATGCGTGTATTTAAAATTAAAATTTTGTAGGATACGTTACTAATTGAAGTCTATGATCTACCGTGAATTTTTGTTCAAAATAAATAAGAATTTGCAATCAAAGGCGCTTCACAGATAGCCAAAAAGGCGCTTCACAGATAGCCAAAAAGGCGCTACACCTTTTTAACGTTTTGTTATACCGAAATCGAGATGAAGTATATAGAAATATATGGAGGAAACATAACGTTAAACATTTATGTAAAATAAACAAAAATGTGAGTTAATTATTTTAATTAATAATCCCTTGGAGTTCAATAGTAAAATTATCATAGCGATAAACTTTATTGTAATTTATTTACACTCATTCCATAAAAAATACAGGACACATAACACTGTTATATAATATAACAAAAATAAAAAAGTTAATTACGATATGTGATTTTTATGTCAATTTTGTGTTTTTCACGGATAGTACAGATCTAACTTGTTTAATAATATAAAACAGTTCCATAGATAATTATTCCATTCTTAATCATTAGAAACCATTAATGTAAAGGTATTTTAGGAATATTATTCTTATGTAACTACCGATTAAATTGATTTAAATATTACTTAAAAGAAAAATCGACACCCGCAAAAACACACATGTAATTGTTAAAATTCAATAAAATTCGGTACTCGGACATAATTACAAATGATAATTTATTTTCATATAATACAGTTACTACATACTAACGTAATAAATCTCTAATTTCTCCTTTGTCTTGTATAATTGTTTTTAAGCTTAATTTGAAGTAACCAGTATTTACTTACGGGTGGGGCATAAGTAAAGATGCTCGAAAAGTAAAATAATATGGAATTAAATGTTTATATTAATAACCTCATATCAATATTTTCTAGCTTAATACCGTGTAGGAAAATGTAAAAAACTATTTTATTACGTTACGTCATATATTTAACTTCAAATCAAGGTTGAGGCCCTACTTTGCCCCACCGTGGGTAAGCCCATGATCACTGGTAATCTCAACCCAATCATCGGCGTAGCCAAGCCTTGACGAACTGGCCGTGTTAATATGAGCTAACATAACAATAAGCTAACAATACCTATTGAAAGGGGCAATGACTACCTTCAAAGCTCACTGTCAGTCAGAAGATATTATTAACACAATAATGAAAAATATGTATTCAAGAACATAATAGAAAAATAGATAGCGTAGATTTTAGTAGTTTTAGGAATTTCAGGGAAAAGGGCCTCGCAGATGCGATTTCTCTTAACTCAAAATTAGTCCACGCCTCGCCACCGAGGCCATACTTCCGAAGATACAACTCGCATAAGATTAAGCTTTTATTTTTATGTTGCAGACACTAGTCTTTATAAAAATTGATAAACGTCAGCACAGACGGATGGAGTTGTTAACCTTACTCCAATCGCATACAATTCAAATTCCATCTATTTAAACGCTCGTCAATTTAATATTTATAAGCGTAATTTTGATTACGTTTATAAGCGTAATTATATTACGCGCGTCGGACATCGGTAATATTTGAATATGTAAACAAAATGTGTGACATAAAACTGATAATTTAAAACAATAATATTAACCACTTTGCTGTCACTTCGACAGTCGTTCCAAATTTGAAACATCAGTTCAATAGTTAAGGACTAAATAAGCAATCGTAATTGGAGTTACAATATTACCTAGCATTTAAGACATATTCAAATCTGTGACGACAGTGACACATACATTACATTACATACATAACTATAGCATAATTTCGGGTCTCAATCGAAGTGCGAAGGTGAGACGCAGCGGATAACGTTAACAAGGCAGTATAATAGGCTATTTGACACTGTTGAAAATAAGTTGCATGTTGTGGTCATCCTGTAAGATAATAATCTAATAAAGTTTATTATTAAGAATCTGCAGACAAAATATGCTTTAGTAAAATAACGTAAAGAAAATGCAATACTTTTAGGAACTTAATGAACGACGAAAACACGCTGTAATTGGTTGTCGTCGCAACCAATAACAAGGTCTGTTTACCGGCGTGTGACGTCACACGTAAACAGGAAGCTGTCATGTCAAAACTGTTATTAAAGATTTGTATTTATATATACTATTTGAAGGTCATTTTTAGAAACAAAACCTGAGTAGATCCAAATACAAAACATACAATTTAACTTGATTTTCTCTTCTGTAATACTATTTTTTAATTCGTAAATAAATAGTTGATAAATAGTATATGTCGCCTAGAAATATTTACCGGCGTGAGACGTCACAAATACCACGTAATCAGCGCCATTACATAGAGAAGGGCTTTTTGCGCGATTTTCGCTATTTAAATTTTAACAATTTTTTTCATCGAAAATACAACAGATTCCCATGAAATATATTTTCTGAAATCTATTTAAAATCATTGTTTAATACATCATAAACACACTGGTCTATACTGATATATAAACACACTATCAAACAATGACCTAAAATAGTTTTCAGAAAGTGTCAAACACCCTATTCATTACTGTACCTGAGCGGGAAATGCCATTTTGGTTCAACTTACGTGTCGCACAATAAGCAGTCATTTAAAAATTAATTCAACACTCGCAATTTCATAAATACTACACTTTTCTATTGGTACTTTTGTTAATTCTTTCAAATTGCTTATTATAAACAATAAGATAAACCATTTCATAATAATAATAATTCTTCACTAGAACATTCAAATAATTGTCCTTAGATCCCAAAGTGAAATAAATAAAATAGAATTATATTTTTTATACATTTTTAACAGACAAACTATTATTAAAACAAATTAAATCTTGTAGGGTTCCTGGTACACTATGTATTAGAATGATTATGGTGACACAATAATAATTTTCAAATTATTCTATAGACAAACCGACAAGTATTGACGTATAAGTATTGAATACATAAATGTTTACTATATTATGAAAATAAAAAATTAAACTAGCTGAAGGCTACGTCCGAGTTAAGTCACAACCACGCAAATCTCTGGAGCCTATTTTTTCGACACATAATCTCAATTTACCATAAAACTACCCTCATATTTACACTACCTCCAGATGATTAAAAAATCTCCAAAAGTTAAAAAAATTGACAAACACATTAACACTCTTATTTTTAACAAAGCGTATGGATTCATTTTATTTACAAGTAAAATAATGCGCATATTATTACAAGCAAACACTAGGGCACTGAAGTAATAAGTACTTTTTAATTATTATCGCAAAAACCAACAATTGCCTAATTATCTTCTTAGATGGTGGCACTACATAGAAACTTTGAGGCAATGAAATCCTATAAGACTCTACCGATGCTAAAAGAATCGCTTCCGACGACGAAACGCCGGTTCTACTGACGCATACTTTATTAAAAGTTGACTATACACTCATAGGTCACCGTTTATAAGGCGGAAAGTGTTTATAATTAGTTACTTATCTAGAGATATTTACAATATACACAGACCAAATCGGCACACAAACGGAACACAGGCATTGAAACTGCTTGAGCAGCCATCATATTGCTTAAACCTTCAGTTTTGTGTCCATTTGCAGAAAATGTTTTCATACAGAAAATATAACACTGAATTGCTTTAACAGATATGCCTAATGAAGGAACATATGCCATGTATAATTTCATACTAATTGCATTTTCACATGGTACCTCTTAATATTAATAATAAATAAAATGATACATTTTACAGACTAGACAGCAGGACCGTCTGTTATGTTCCTTAAATCAACTGCAAAATTTCAATTGAAAAACATAAAACGAGGTATTGTTTCTTTAAATTTTAACTCAAATGTTCAACTTTCTTAATTTTAACTATCCAACATGAGATCTTTCTTAATAAGACTACTCATAAACTGATCACTTGCCCAAGCGATTCATTAAGATTCCTTATGATAAGTGTCCATTTTAGCAAATGTGAAATAAATAGTTGTGATGAGTTAACTGCTACAGACACAGGGACTAGATTGTCTTTATCCAACAAATATTTTGTCATAGTTGACTATTAAAAAAATTATGTCCCGATATGCCGAAAGTGTATAAAATATATGCAACTCAAATAGGAGGCATTAAGAGAGGTGATGATGGTGCGGCGTAGCGCTATGGCTTGAATTTCACAAGGGGAATATTCTTAGATGATAAACACTTGTCACAAACCCACTCTGCATATACTTCTGCTGTTAATAACTGGAAAGCTGGCTCAGTCAGACCAGTACACCCTCTGAAAAATAAACATTATCTTATTAAGAAGTAATCTGATATGATAGATAGGTTACCATAATTTATAAAAAAAATATCAGGCTCAGGCTTAAAAAGAATATATAGAAGATTTTAAATGGAATAAAATATTACTGCATAAGGAAGTCAATATATTATTATGATCTTTGACTTTTCTTTCAAAATTAAATAAGTAATATGCAAAATATACTAACCGATGAAACCAAAAGTTACATCCAGATTCACACAATATTGCTTGATCATTGTCATGAACTTCTTTGTGACATACTCCACAAGGATAAATAGGAGGAGCATTTGGGTTCTGTGGATTAAAAACCATTGGCTGATCTGGGGGATACACTTTGCCTGCACTCACAGGCATAGGTTTAGGTCCAAACATTCCCATTCCTTGCCCCATGGGACCGACACTTTGCCCTCCAGGACCACCCATAGCCATTCCACTCATGCCAGCTAAAGGTCCACAATTTCCCATATTAGTTGGTCCCGGACCCATTCCCATTGAACCATTTCCTCCCATGCCCATGGGCCCGCCATGACCAATATGACCTCCACCATATGGTGGTCCAGGGCCCATAGATGTCATCGGGCCATTACCACCCATAGGTCCACTTCCCATAGCTGAACCCATTGGACTTCCATGCCTCATGGGACCACAATGGCCAGGGCCCATTCCACCACTTTGCATTGGATTCGACGACATTATAGAACTTGTAGGTCCCATTGAACCATTTGAACAGCTTGGCCCCATAGGCCCATTCATTCTTGGTACATTCATGCCAGGTCCACCGCCTCCCATAGGACCATTCATAGGCCCATTCATTGATCCTCCACCAAGTGGGCTATGCATAGGTGGACCCATAGGACTATTACTCATATGACTTCCAGCCATAGATCCCATATTCATTGGACTTCCCATAGGACCTGAAGACATTGGTGATCCCATTGGCATAGAATTCATAGGACTCATGGGACTACCCATTGATCTAGAGTTTGGGCCCATTCCAGGACCCATACTATGATTACTCATTCCCATATTTGGTCCCCCCATAGGTGACATTCCTCCCATATGACCCATAGGGCTCATGTTACCCATAGGACTGATTCCTCCTCTTGGTGGCATTTGTTGTATCATTGGGCTCATACTATGAGGAGAAGGGCTCATATGTCTCATAGGAGGGCCACCCATGCTGTGCATAGGTCCCATCATACCCATTGGACCATTTTGACTCATCATGGGCCCATTTTGATTCATCATCGGACCATTATGTGAAACAGTTGACGGGGAATCATCAAAAGGATTTGAAGCCACAATAGTATCACCATATCCTGTTAAAGGTGGGGGCAGAAGATCTTGTGCAGTGGGTGGAGGTTGAGGTGTTAAAGCATTATTAGCATTTGATGTTTTTCTTCTTTTCTTTGGATTGCTGGGTGCTGATGCTGGTGGTGTAGGAGTGTCCATAGGAGGTTTAAAATCAGGAGGTCCTAATCCTTGGCCTGGCAACCTATAGGATGGCATTCCAGCCAAATTATGACTCATCTTGATCTTGATATTATTGAGATTCAGCTCTGTTGACCATAATGATGTATCGCAGATTTAGAGCTCAACAAGTACATTTATAAGGCACCTCATCATATGGAAAAAAATACAATTACGTGCCAGAACACGGGACGTGTCTATTTCTGTAACATAAAAAAAATATAACTTAACAAGATGAATGTTTCACCATAACTCAAAATCTCAGACAATTCCCATTTGATGCGTAAAATAATGGTTTTTTTGTTACTATTTCAATGTTTATGGCAACGAGTCCTAAGATATCAAAAGACATTAAAATGCTTGGTAACCTTCCTTCATAAGAGCTGTAAATGCAAACGTTTCAATAAATTTATTGCTCATTGACTACTTTTAACGTCTTAAAAAAGTTAAGTAAAAAAAACTTACAGCATTATCAATTTAGCATCAGAATAACTGATGTATTTTTTTTGTCCTCCTCAAACCCAAGTCAGGCATGCAACATATGACAAAACACCAAAAATAACGCACATAAAACGTCCAGCTTATTAAATTTTCGGACAGTTTCCTTGTAGATTAATATTTTACCACACAAAATGTACACATAAATCAACAGTTAGATAACCACGGAAAGCGTTTTTTATTTTACGACTCACAATAATCCAAACAACACACGCCACATTCACAATGTATTTTTGATACGAAATTACTGCCAGAGGGCGCTTGTGCTCCACTGTACGATGAATTATTTATATGGCAATTCTTTTCTTTCGTTCAGGATTTATTTGACAGTAGTGAGAGTAAGGAAATATAAAAAAATATTTATATATGTCATTATGAGGAAGTATTAAAAAAAATAGTTCCCGAAATCACACTAGATGTTGCTACGGTTCTTGATTTCTCCATGACAACCCTTTCGGTTATCTTTCATGTTTAAAAGTAAATTAGTTTTCAAAACTCAGTAGACGACTCGTATTCTATTTGTAATTTTTCGTATTTGTATTGATATCTAAGTTTCAAACTTTTGAATTTCAGTTTTTTAATATGTTAGTTAAAAGGAACGAAAATTACTGTCTTGGTCTATTCGTTTCCTGCAAAAATCAACTTTCGCTAGGGTCGCCATCTAGTGGAGATGCTCTTTTAATGCTTTCGTTTTTATTTAAATACTTCCTCATTAGACATAACACTGATGACACCAAAGGCTTACAACAAATCCATACATCCTAACAAATTTTCGCATTTATAATACTAATAGAATAGGATGTAAAATAGGGTAATTGATAGGAAATGGATAGGTCATTTCTTCTAAACTCATTATATCTATATTAAATTATGATATATCATTATAAAATCATAGTTTTATTTATCTCCTTCTATTTATAATATTCTGATCTGGTAATGACATGTTTTTTGAATCTCATTACTCCCACTCGAGCTGTGAATTTCTTGCTCTTTCTTTTTATTAACCAAAGATGTCCTGAACGAGTGGTAGGGGAAAAATATTAGACGATTCAAAAATACTTTAAGAAGTCTATTAGAATAAAGACTATTTTTATTTTGACTTTGCAAACAAACAAAAGAGACATTGCAAAAACAAAAGCGAAGCACATCAGTAGAATTGGCAAGAAGCTTGAACGTCTTCCTTCGGGAACGCGTGCTTTCTGGTCTCTTGCCAAATCTATTCAAGGTAATTGCTGCACGCCTTCATTTCCACCTTTGCACAAAGATAACTTTTCATGAGCCCATTATGCAAAAGAAAAAGCCGATCTCCTAGGTAACTTTTTTGCATCCAACCCAACTTTGGATGACCGGGGGCTGAAACCGCCCACCATTCCCAGTGCAATAGCTCTATGCTTGATAGCCGGTTTCATCAAAGCTCAGTGCGTCTAGCGCTACTCTCCCTGGATATCCACAAGTCGAGTGGGCCCGATGGTATCCCCTCTATTGTGCTAAGGACGTGCGCTCCAGAGTTGGCACCGGATGTGTGCTATCGCCTACATTTTTTCTTCTGCATATTAATGACATGCTGCAAATTAACGGTATTCATTGTTATGCAGATGACAGCACGATGGACTCCTCCTATAATGGTCGTGCAGGTATTTCTCGGGAAAGCGACATTGAGAGTCGGAATCAACTTGTGTCTGTTATTGATTCTTCGTTAGAGGAAGTCTCTAACTGGAGTCGACTTAATTTGGTCTATTTCAACTCTACTAAGACACAAGTTTGCGCGTTCACCGCCAAAAAAGCCCCATTTGTCGTATCACCTCGCTTTCTAAACATTCCCCTAACTGCCTCAACCAATATTGAGATTCTTGGTGTCGACATATCGAACGAGGTCCAGTTCCGTGGAGAGGTTAAGGCTAAATTAGCATCTAAGAAGCTTGGTATGCTTTATAGATCGAGGCAGTATTTCACTCCAGCACATCGCCTGCAGCTTTACAATGCGCAAGTTCGGCCCCATATGGTGTCATCTTTGGGCGGGGGAACCCCCATACCAGCTTCTCCCTCTAGACCGCATTCAGCGGAGAGCGACTCGAATCGTCGGTTGCCGGGACACTTAAAGTCGGTTTGATCCACTGGCCCTGCGTAGAGATGTTGCTTCACTGTGCATCTTCTATCGCATCTATTACGAGGAATGCTCCGAGGAATTGTTCGGACTCATAACTGCCGCCCACCTTCCGCCATCGTTCCATGCGACAAGAAATCCACGCCCATCATTTGGATGGTTGGAAGTCCTCAACTGTGCGTTTTTCTAGAAGTTTTCTGCCTCGCACAGTAAAACTCTGGGACAGTTTGTCGCCAGCGGTATTTCCGGACCGATACGACCTTCAAACTTACAAGCGTAGAGCATATTCGTCCCTCAAAGGCCGGCAGCGCGCTTGTAACCCCTCTGGTGTTGCAGGTATCCATGGGCCACGGTAATCACTTACCATCAAGTGATCCGTCTGTTCGTCTGCCCCCTATCCCATAAAAAAAATTACTTTTATACATGAAAGAAAACCGGAAAGCACAGAGAATGGAGAAATCAAGAAAGTATTATTTTGGTATAGGTATATACCGTGTATACTTACATGTGCATTTAGTAAGAAACGGTTAATTTGTATTTGTTAAAATAAAACTGTAAGATCCGTTCATTCATTAATCGGGAGTTCCCCGACCAAAGAGTAAAGTTACCTATTTGTTCGTGGAAGTATTCCAGGGTTGCCATAATAAGTATTAGAATATCTTTCTATAATATATAAAGCTGAAGAGTTTGGTTATTTGAACGCACTACTGGTTCGAATTGAAAATTATTTTTGTGTTGAATAGACCATTTATCGAGGAAGGCTTTAGGCTATATAACATCACGCTGCCACTATTAGGAGCGAAGAAATAATGGAAAACGCGGACGAAGTCGCTGGCGGCCACTAGTCTACTAATAAAATTTACACTCGCGATCCGCTATGGGTTACTGAGCCATCGAAGTAAAGTAAGTAGGTATTATACTAACGTTTTAAACAATTCCTATTGCTAACGTTTAAAGAAATAATCGATTGTTAATCGTCGATTAGGAAATAATAATTGATAGCAACTGATTATTTTAAAAATTGATTAATGGTAATTGATTCCGCACACCATTAGAAAAATGTGTGCTAGGCGCGAAAAAAAATCGATTTGAATCAAACATACCATAATCGATTCTTGATTAAATCGAGCTTTAAAAGATCGATTTTGAATTGATCGCAAATTTTTCAATCAAATAAGCCTCATATAGACACAGAGCATTATTGATGATAATTTATCGTAGATAAAAGTAATGCACGAATTTTAGGAGGCCAATCAGGCAGTTTGTTATAATAGATGGGTGATCATGAATCGATTCAAGAATCGATGTAGAATTCCAAATCGATCTAAAACATTAATTATTTAACTAAAAATAATCGATTTTCGATTTATCGATCTCAGATCGATTCTAAAAGCGCCCTAAGGGCGCTTGTGCACTACACTGAATTTTCATGTCCGGCGGTCCGATTTTTTCAGGTCCGATATGTCAGGCCATATGTAGGTAATGCGCGCTTGTGCACTGTCAGGAATTTTACCGTCCGGAATTTTACTTTTCTCTATTCCGGACCGGTTTTTTCAGTTCCGTGATGGCAGCAATGAAAAACGTGTTTACGCTTGTGCACTGCTGTGTCCGAGATCCGGAAAATTCATAAGGAATAGGCTTGGGAAAAAATAATCGATTTGAATCGATATTTATTTCGGCAATATTGTTAATTTCCAATAAACTTATAATCGATATTTATTGTTGATTATAAAATGCTATATTTTATCTGATGATTTAATATAGATGGTTTATATCACTGCATATGCTTTGGTAAACTCGGTATAGTTCTAATTTGATCAGCATATGGTTCTAGTATCGATACTTAGCTAGATTTTAGAATCGTATTAAAAGTATCGATAGCTTAAGTAAGATAAATAAGTGTTGTTACGTTTAGACAACTGAACCCATCTAAATGGAAATTAATATAGTAAATAGACTTAACTTTAAGAAAGGACATAGGCAACATTTTATCGCAAAAAATAAGGGATGAAAGTTTGCCTGGAAATTTGTCATTATCAATTTTTTTTTAAACAATTGATAAGTATAGATGAATATTTGACAACAGAAGTAATATTAAAGAATAAACAGAAGATTAACAAAAGTAATTAAGTGAAACTCAATGTCTTTTTCGCATTTAATAAAATTTTAAATGTATGTTTGTGTTATTAATAAATTTAAAAAAATAAGTATTCTAAGGGAATAATATTTCTGCTCAAAGAAACTACACCACGCGTATAAAATTATGCCTATATATAATACAGTCAACTGATCTCGTAAAGTTCATTTAGCATAATGATTCTCCGCTAACACGACACTAATTTCGATTTGTTTACGAAATGGCGCCACCGATTGGTCTATCTCTGTAATCGCTGAAAGTTGTTTTTACAAAACTTCGAAAAAATAGCACATTTAAAAATTTAAACATCAAATACTAGACCATTATCAGTAATTTTATTCTAATATTAGATTTTTTAGCTATTGTATGTGAATAATGCTGTTCCTAAATTAGTAAGGGTATAAGTTTTTACATCTGATAGTAGTCATCCGATAGTAGTAAAAAAAATGCTTTCGTCTTGCCCTAATTTATTATATGTAAAACGATCAGATCATTATTTAGGTACCTTTCTACGTCTTCGAACGGAATTACCAACGTTCCAAAAATCTCATCGTACCTAGCGTAAGTAACGTGTAGCTTCAAAGAAAGCTGCCCTACACTGCGCCGCTCCGATCAGGAAAAAAACGGACAAGTGCACAAGCTATTCATCCGAGTTTTTCATGTCATTCCGGACCGGAAAAAATCGGACCGCCGGACCTGAAAATTCAGTGTAGTGCACAAGCGCCCTAAGAAAGGACATAGGCTACATTTTATCGCGAAAAATAGGAGATGAAAGTTTGCCTGGAAATCTGTTATTATCAATTTTTTTTTAGACAATTGATAAGTATAGATAAATATTCGACAACAGAAGTAATAATAAAGAATAAACAGAAGATTTACAAAAGTAATTAAGTGACACTCAATGTCTTTTTCGCATTTAATAAAATTGTTTGTGTCATTAATAAATTTTAAAAAAGAAGTATTCTAAGGGAAAAATATTTCTGCTCAAAGAAACTACACCACGCGTATAAAAATTATGCCTATATATAATACAGTCAACTGATCTCGTAAAGTTCATTTAGCATAATAATTCTCCGCTAACACGTCACTAATTTCGATTTGTTTACGAAATGGCGCTACCGATTGGTCTATCTCTGTAATCGCTGAAAGTTGTTTTTGCAAAACTTCAAAAAAAAATTGCACGTTTAAAAATTTAAACATCAAGTACTAGACCATTATCAGTAATTTTATTCTAATGTCACAGATATTTTTAGCTATTGTATGTGAATAATGCTGTTCCTAAATAAGTAACGGTATAAGTTTTTACATCTGATAGTAGTCATCCGATAGCAGTAAAAAAAATGCATTCGTCTTGCCATAATTTATTATGGTTTATGTAAAACGATCAGATCATTATTTAGGTACCTTTCTACGTCTTCGAACGGAATTACCGACGTTCCAAAAATCTTTTCGTACCTAGCGTAAGTGACGTGTAGCTTCAAAGAGAGCTGCACTACACTGCGCCGCTCCGATCAGGAAAAAAACGGACAAGTGCACAAGCTACTCATCCGAGTTTTTCATGTCATTCCGGACCGGAAAAAATCGGACCGCCGGACCTGAAAATTCAGTGTAGTGCACAAGCACAGACTTAGTAGGTATCAGACGACCAACTTCCTAACAAAAAATTTCTTCGTAGAACGTGATTGGGAGCCAGTGATACATGACAGCTTCATACGTTTTAAATATATAGATTTACTATCGGCAAAGGCATTTAGCTATACAGCCCTGTTTTGGGTAGGTACCTAGCCGTCTTCCTAGTTTCCACATTATTTTTACTTTAATTTAAATTCCTTTTTTGTTTTAATACAACAATAACAATAAAGCAGACTGATAAGTCTAGCTTATTATTATTGTTGTATTAAAACAAAAAAGGAAAAACGAACACGTAAATGAAACACACATTTTTCCAATATTATTTATTGAATAATTTATTTTTTAACTCATTATATTTTTCACAGCTTTCTTCTGCATTCTCGGCAATTCTTAACTACGTTTTTTTAGTGGCACAACCTTATGAAACTTTTCAAGGTAATCACATTTTTTTAAAGAGGGCACTGATATTTGCATACCTTTTTATACACATATTTAAGTTTTTCTTAAATTTCAATTGCCTTTGGCCAGAAAGAATGATGCTCTTCTCCTTTATGCTTCTTTTGTTTATCGATGCTCCATTGACACTATCAAATAATTGGTCAAAGAATGAAACAACTTCAGCTGTATTTCTTAATGTTGTGGTGACAGGCCTGCCATCCACATAAGTTGCTGCAAATTAAAATATTCATATAATAATTGTATGAAACTTGATTCAAAACTATTAACTGTTAGTAAATTTCATCTAATACTCACAGAAATTTGCAGTGTAAGACAAAGTTGCAGACATATTTTTACACAATTTTTTACCTGCAAAAAGAGATATCATATTTAAAATTATCTTCATTAGAGAATCATGATTGTAATTTAAGTGTAAACTATATTAACTACTTGTTACATAATTAAAAATACAGGTCACTGAATCAACACTTGCTCTGATAGAGAATATAGAAGCTGAATACAAATTATTTCTTTCATTTATACTAATTTAAGTTATACTAATATAATAACCAATGCATTACCTTCATCATTTTAATTTTATCAGGTATAACTCATTGGTCATTTAATTTATGACGTAGCCCAGCTTCAGTGTGTTAACAGTCTGTCTCATAGACATAAATAATATCATGCCATTTTGCAAGTTTACTATCCAATATTAAATTTTTGTTAAAAAATTGTTCCTGATACATTTTATCAAGTGTGTAGAATCATAATGTTCAAATCCACCCCACATATTTTAAGAATGCCAACTGAAACAAAAATTTAAGAACTTCTTAAAACATAGATAACAATTTATAAATAAGAACCTTCACTACTTTCATTAAATCTATTAGTTTTCTTTCATATAAATATAACTCTCTGTACCAACCTGTGATTTCAATTTAAAATTTGATCACACTAAGTGTCTTCTTTTAGATTTTTGAGTGCTGATTGGAAAGCTGAGCCTTGGCCATATTTTATTGCGATGGGATTAAGGTCCAATTCAACAACTTTTTCTACTACTAACTTTAAAATATTCTTGATGTACAGTAGATGTCGCTCCTTGACAGAAATACTAACATAAAGGCTGTTGCCACTTGTAAACAGCACCAACATAAATACAAGAGTATGATCTGCAAAATCCACTTTCTTTTCTTGGTGTTCTACAAATCCATTATTGTTATCTTTAATCCTTATTACTTTTATTATACAAAAGTGCTCTTTCTAATGACATCTCATCAAATATAATGCAGCACATTTTTTTGGAGTTTCATTTGTCTACCTGAAAAAGTAAATTCAAATAGGTAGGTACATATTATTATTTGGTAGTAATACAAAAAATTATAAAAGTAGTATGAAAAACCTTATATGGAATATATTTACCTCTTACATGAAGCCTGGTTCTATGATCAATTTTCTAATCATAGTATTCAGTGTAGTTTTGGATGATAAAATAAAAAATTTTGCTTAATAATCAATAACACTTTGGACTCTGCTTTGATATTGATAAAGCAATTATCTTTTCTTCGGTAGTGAATCACCTCTCATGTTTATTTTTAGAGCACATGCTCACTTGCATTTCAAAAACATTTTTTGCAACTGTGTTCATTTTTTGTCGGAACTTTTCAAATGATAACTTTTTACAAAACTTAAAGGTATTTAAGTATTCTTAACTTTTTTAAGAAAGTTAAACTACGTCTTTGGCTTGTTATATTCTTCATAAATTCTCTGGTATAAAGGTGACAGTTGGCTTTACTATTTGGTAATAAGCCTTTTCCTTTTTGTTTGGGTACATTTCAAAGGGTCTGTAACATCAAAAGTATTCAGTGAATTTCTCTATTAGAACTACTATTTGATTGAAATAAAGATACACTAAAGAAAGAAACAGGTCTTACCAGATAATTTAGTTTGTGTCATATTTTAATCTCCAGAGCAAGCAAATAATTGAGTAAACTCAGTGGCTGCAGACACAGGAGTCTCAATTTGTCCTTTTAAAATTACACCACCTATGAAATCAATATTGATTATGTGTGTAAGATTAAAAAACAGGATATAATCTTAGATGATATTAGAAGTATGTTATTTACATTATCAATTTATTCCCTGATCAAAATCACTTCTAGCGTGCCCATTAGAGTTAAGTAACTTAATGTAATTTTTCTTTATGTGTGTAAGAAAGAGAGATCTACTAGACTTTTTTTAAAGCAAAAATCTATATTAAAATACACCAAAACTGCAGCATGAACTTTGTTATCTAAATAAAATAAATTAAAAACAAACCTCTGTTCAGTTCCACTTTCTAATATGTGTGGTCAACATGACTTTTTCTTGCATAGCTGTGTTCCCAAGTGAATATAATTTCTGTAATAAAAAAAAAAAATCTAATGAAGAATAGCGGTATTCCAAAACACAACAAAGTGAAGATACATATCATTTTCATTACATTATCTAAAGGTAATAGCAGATTAAACCAGCCGTACTAGTATTGCTTGAAGAGGGTAGGCTGATTGAGAGTCCATCATCAAAAAACAATGATGGATATGCATCACCCAAGAGTCATGATTTTGGAGTGACGAATCTTGGTACAACGTGTTTGCTACAAATGACACTTCTGCCTGGATTAAAATTTTCAGTATCACACACAGCACTAAGACATTGTAACCACTTGGAGAATCTTTTCTCGTTCACTAGAATCTTATAAAGAATAGCGTCCTGTTTGCACTTTAACAATGCGTGTAACACAACCATAACACAACACACCAATTTCCTAGGCATCTTCTACAAATAAAAATACTTCGAAAAAAGGAGAGTTTATATTACAAATAAAGCGAAGAGGGTAAGCACAAACGAAACTTTACTCAATCACTTGTAATTTCCTGATATGTAGGTACATACTTTAGTCTTCTTCTTCTTTTATTAATGGCATATACGCATTTCACACAATTTTGCCAATGTGAAGTGAATAAATTAATTTCAACATGTAAAATGAATTAAAGACTAATTAAAACATTAATATCTTTACTCTTTGTTGTAATGACAGTTTCTGTCAGGTGTCATGTCTCCATCTACTGACAGGGGTGAGGGGCGTGAGGAAATGTCATACATCACTGGACCCCTACGGGATTGGTTTATTGTACGGAGTTGACGGGCCGTGGTGCACAAGCGCCCTAAGTCTGTGGTAATCTGTGTAGAAAAGTAAAATCGTGTTCATGTTTTTTTGCGATTTCTAATGTAGATTTTCAATTAAGTTTAAATTGTAGGCGACTCGAAAACGAGTCCTTTACCTAAAATATTTTCCAAAAATTTGTGAAACATGGCTCTTAATAGACTATTTGCTAATTTATCAATTACATCGACATATATTTGTAGACAGCGAATTCACACCTGTACTGTTAGTTTTGCTAGCAAGCCTAATATTATTAAGCCAAGACCAGGCTTTGGTAAAGCTTACAGGCGTATCGTACACTTTCCAGAAGAGTACACCGTGAAACCATTAGAGGTTACAAATTTAGCGGGCAGGGACCCAATTACTGGTAAGTATTACAGTCACGTTTTCTACAGATAGCGAAGTTTTCCAAAAATATTTTTACTTAATGATAAGAGTTCTGTTGCATATTCTCGTTTTATTTTTAATCCTGTTAAACTGCCTTTTCAATTATGTACCTAATATAAAATCAGTTATTTGGACCAAAAAAACTTTAAAGCTGTATTGAATACTGTTTATCTTATTACAAATATAATTTTGTTATCATTATTGTGAAAAGAAAAACAATCAATATTGTATTTTTAAGGTAGAGTTGTGGCTAAAGGTATCGGTGGAGGTATCAAACATAAATACCATTGGATAGCATGGGTTAGGGATGGGCCCAAAGAAGGTCCACCACAAGAAGAGAAAGTGATACAGGTAAACTTCTTGTCTATGATGAATGTTATAGAAAATGTATATGTTGTATAATTGAGTTAAGATAGATACTCATACATACATATAGATATATACATTTTGTCTGAATTAAATGATTTGAAACATTTGTAAAAATTATTAACTGTTAATTAGGTTATGGAAGATGGATGTAGAACTTCAAATATTGCCCTTGTCGCTGTTGGTGATAAACTAAAGTACATATTAGCAACAGAGAACATGAAGGCAGGAGACATATTGAAGACTTCTAGAGATCTACCAAGGATACCCGGTTAGGTTATTTTACTATTGATTTAACTTTCAATTTGAGTCAGGATTATGATTGTTTTGGAGTTGTAAGAGTAGTGCACTTTGCAATGGCAGATGGTATTCTCCGTCATCCCTGTCGCAAGATTGGGTTGTCGAGTGAGTCGCTTTTTTTGTAGTTTTAATATATTTTTTAAATATTTGTAATTTTTTTTAATCTTCTGCATCATAAACAAAATTTAAAATTTTCATCTCATTTCTTATCAAAAAATATTTGTTTCAGTTAGAGCTAATGAAGGAGATGCTTATGTATTAGGTGCTTTGCCATTTGGTACAATTGTACATTGTATTGAAAAAGATCCAGGTAAATTACATATAAAATCACAATTTGTGCTTAAATAATCAAGCTGTTTTTTATGTTATTTATATAATTAACACTTATAATTCTGAATATTTATGGCTCATGTTAAGTGTTAAGCAAGCTACAGAAATATCATTAAAAATTTAAGATATCCTTTGTGCATCTTATAATTTAGTTTTTAATTTTACAGGACATGGCGGTCTATATATCCATGCAGCTGGAACATATGGAACTATTCTCAGGAAACAAGAGGACAGAGTTATAGTTCAGATGCCTTCTAAAAGATTGTTCAGCTTTGATCAACATTGTATGGCTGTTGTAGGTGTGTATATTTAAGTTATTAATAGAATTTGAAGCAGAGAGCTAGTGGAAATGGGGTTCATGGAAATGTTCAATTAGAAGCACAAAATAATGGGTGTATTAAAATATAGAGATTACAGATACGGTACAGACAATAGATGACATTTTTTTATATCAAAGATTACATAAAATGAGATATATAAAAAAAAAATTTAAAGGTAAAAAACAAACTAAGTGGTGCTTGATTCATAATACTTCATATAAATAATAGTTAATAATAAATAATAGGCATCTTCTTATTCAATGAATATGGGATCGGACAATTAAAAAAAAAAACAGTTTTAAATTAATAAAAATGGATGCTTATTTTCATAAAAATAATATTTTATGTAAATAAACCTTATTATATACCTAAAACTATGTTTGAAATTTAACTATTTAATAAAATCTCATAAATGGTGAATGAAAAAAAAAATGTAACTTCTTCAGTATATAATTGTTTTGCACTTTAAATGTTTCCCGCACTTTTACTAGATAGTTTTACTACTAATTTACCCACAAATGACTTCACGCGCTCTGATTGGTGTTTCTTTGGCGTGAAACGCCTATAAAAGCCTACATATAAATATTAATCTGCATATAGTATCAACAATACAAATGCCTGGTCAGAGTCTTAAAACTTACCCAAGACATAATGCCTTATATACCTTTAAAGTGAGGTCTTATTTTTTTTTTATTTGTGACGGCGCACTAAGGTCAATTTTCAAATTTTAGTGGTATAATATTAAACTTTATCAATGTGAAGGTATCCTGAAGAAATATATAATATTTTTTGCTTTTTTTTTTTTTTTTTTTTTTTTTTAAATGTTACACAAGACAGAATAACAACAATATATATAATCAAGCAACAAAAAAAAGTAAAGTAAGTAAAGTAGGTTGCAATTCCACACATATGTGTAAACAGCATGCATAATCATAGCAACAACATTAACAAACAAATGCGTTAAATTACAGTTTAAACAGCGCTCAACGTCGCTGTTTTTTTAAAAAGTACTTCCAACTACTAATAGATGAATGACAGATGTCAGGCTCACCATTAAGTCGATCCAACAACGCGTTATACTCACGGCACATTCTGTGTATAGGGTTATGGAAGGAAACATTATTATTAAGAAATGGCACTGAGAAGAGACATTCTCGTCTGGCAGATCTGTTAGGGACTCGGAACCTTATTTCTGATAAGACACTGGTATTTATAGAGCCACAAATAATTTTATGTAGGTACATGAGGTCATGTACCTTTCGTCTATCCTCGAGAGCTTCTAACTTGAAAAAGCGGAGACGCTCATCATAATTAGTGAGCTCTCTTTTGCGGTTGAATCTTAACGTGAGAGTTCTAAGGAAACGCCTTTGTATAGATTCCAGTAAATCAACATGGACATTATATTGTGGTGACCAAATCACTGAGGCGTATTCCAGCTGACTAAGAATCAGCGACTTGTACAGCAAGAGAAGGCTATTTGGGGACTTGAACTCTCTAGACGAACGACAAATGAAACCCACCAATCTTCTACACTTCTTAGACAGCGCCTCGCAATGATGACTGAAACTCATTTTGGCATCAAATACTACGCCTAGGTCGCGCACCACTGATTTTCTTTCAAGTACAGTATTATGGATCATATAGTTGAATTCTATAGGGGTCCGCTTGCGAGTAAATGAAACAGTGAAACATTTCTTGACACTGAGGCTCATGCCATTGGCGTTACACCAGTCATAGAGAGAATTGATGTCCTCTTGCAATCCCACGCAGTCCTGGACAGAATCAATGCGACAGAATACCTTTAGATCGTCTGCGTACATCAATGGCATATTTTTAAGTCTTGGTATTAGATCATTAATGTACAAAACGAACATTAATGGTCCTAAATGCGAGCCTTGGGGAACGCCAGATATAATGGAAATAGGCTGAGATTGATAACCCTTTAAAGCAACTAGCTGGCTACGATTTGAAATATAAGATTTAAGCCAGCGATAAAGACACCCATGTACTCCAATACAGTTTAACTTATGAAGCAAAATCCTGTGATTAACCCTGTCAAAGGCTTTTTCAAAGTCCGTATAAATAGAGTCTATCTGACCATGTTCATTAAACACTTTGCATATATAATTTGTGTACTCCAGTAAATTGGTAACGGTCGACTTACCCTCTATAAAACCGTGTTGCTGTTGATGGAGATGAGGTTTGATATGATAAAACAATCGATCATATATCACAGACTCAAAAACCTTTGCAAAACATGACAATATACTTATTGGTCTGTAATTAGAGCAATCACTAGAATCTCCAGACTTATGTATGGGTACTATATTAGCCACCTTCCAAGCACGCGGAAATGTTCCCGACTCTAGGGATTTGTTAAAAATAAGGTATAGTGGTAGGACAAGGCCAGATGCACAACGTCTAATAAAGCAGGGAGGTATGCCATCCGGACCGGCCCCTTTGTTCTCAGATAAAGCAAGTAATTTATTTAATATATCCTCCTCGGAGACATGTAAAGATGACAAAGAATAACTCCGAGGCAAATCGGTCAGCCGATCAATAGTGACGTTCGAATCATCAGCGACAAAGACTGAAGAAAAGAATTCCGAGAAAAGTTCAGCAGCTGCCAGGCCGCCAGTAGCGACCTTACCGCCAAACCTAACAGTCTCAGGGATCGTAGAATTGGATTTTTTGCCTTTAAGAAAGGAAAAAAACAGTTTTGTAGACTCAGCCAAGGATTCCTCAATGTTAGAGACATAGGCATCATAACATTCCTTAATAAGTTTTTTTGATCTAGAACGTAGCAGTCGAAATTCGTCGTAGTCCCTTGGGTTACCAAATTTTTTATATCTCTTATGCGCCTTATTTTTTTCACAAATACATGCTTTTAATGGCTCTGAAAACCAAAGTGGGTACTGCGATTGTCCCATATGCTTAAGTGGAGTATTAGTCTTTATAATTTCATTCAAAATGTCATAGAAACATTGAATGTCAGAGTCAACATCACCATGAGATAGTATATGTTGCCAATCAACACATTTTAACTGCTCTATACATTTAGTATTGTCGCATTTACGAAAATTGGGTACCCTAATATTTTTTGGTGTTAAACACTTGCGCAGGGGTCTTATACTCACATCAATTTCAATGGGTGGATGATGACGATCAGGTGTACTCAAAGGACAACACTCAGAAACCCTTGTGTCGGCAATGTTGGTCATAACCAGATCAAGTGTTCTGTTATTGGCATTTGTCACATGATTAAATTGAAAGAGACCCCCCAATTCAAGTAAATTTATAAGCGCCGTCGATTTACTATCATAAGCCGTACTAGGGACAGCGGCAGGGGGACTGCTGTCGTCAAGAGTCCAGCTTAAATCTGGTATGTTGAAGTCACCGATAACCATTGTCACACCATCAGTACCATGACTCAGTAAAATATCAGAGCAATGATCAAAGAAATACTGATACTCAGATACTTTCAGACTCGGTGGCAAATATACCAGATATATATTAAAAGAAACACCACCTAAGCTCGGGCCACTCACGGTAACCCAAAGGTCCTCTAAACTACTTTCCAAGTCAGTACGTCTTACAGTGTGTAGGTTCCTGTTTAACGCCATGAGTACTCCACCGCCACTATCCCTAGTAGAACTAGTGGTATTGCGATCTCTCCTAAACACAGTGTACCTGTCATCTATAAATTCACCGGTTGAGTATGAATCATCTAAGTTAGTTTCACATAAGCAAATAATATCATAATTATTGTTTAAGATATTGAAATATAATTGTTGTAATTTACTTCTAATTCTATTAACATTCTGGTAAAATATAATCATAATAAGAGACTTAATATACCAAATAGCTAAATAAATAAGCATGAAATTTAAAACAAATTCAATCTATATAATTAACTTATCCAAACTAGCCATGTCCTTTACATAAATGGCGGGCGAGGTTTCAGTTTTTCGGACGTAGACCCTGCCATATTTAATCCAAACAAACTTTAAATTCTTATCTTTGGCTAACCTACGTGTAGCTGCATGCAATTCCTTACAGTCCCTCGAGAGATGCTCACAAACGAAGATAGTGCGTCTGTCACCACTAATGTCAAGGTGTGTCGAGTTAAGATAATTCTTGGGATTCTCTTTATTGAATTTTCTTGTAGCAGATATAATTTCGTCTCGACGCCGTTCAGAAGGGAGAGTAACCAATATATTACGTGGTCTGTCGGATGTCGAACTTAGCAACGCGACGGCAAGAACGAATCTCACTGTCGGTGATCGGTAGCCGTATTGTATTACATAGTTTTTTAAATAAATTTACTACGTTTTCGTTGCGGCGTTCAGGGACGCATTGTATCTCGATATTATAACTCCTTGAAGTTTTTTCAATTTGTCGCAGACGCAACTCAAGCTTAGCTATTTCTGACTGTAGCCTGGAGTTTTCTGTCTGAAGTTTTACTATGTTGTCACAGGTTGAAGCTAATTTAACATTTATGTCGGACTGCTCTTTGCATAAAAAGTCTGTAGTATCCGAAAATTCCTTTTTTAATGTCTCCGAAAGTGTAGTCATAGCCGTTTTGATATTTTCCTGTATCTCTAGAGAGAGAGTCGCTCTGATGCTGTCCAGTTTAGAGTCAATTAGTTGGCCGAATTGACGCATTGTTATAGTGACTTCGTGCGATTCAACGGCTAAGGAAGTATTCTCGATGAGAGCTTCGTCGCAAGACATATTTATTTGGTGAGAAACGGGGGCCTGATTAATTGCCCCCTGAGGACCAATTTCCCTATATGGCGACGCTATGGGTGTGTCGTCATTTCTAGCACGCCTAGTAATATTAATGCACATATCACAACGCCAATTTTTCTCTAATTCCTTGGATTGTTTTTTATAATAAGAAGCAGTGAAATTTAAGCAAAGATAGTGATAACATCCTTTACAAGCAACGCATTTCAATAAATCAGCGTGTTTAATGGATTTTTTACATCCTAAACAATTCATATTTATTGGGTCCGTCGCGCAAGTCAGTTGTTTGTTAGGAAAGGTAAAATGTTTATATTGCAACAAGCAGGTATAATGTAGCACAGATCAATCGACGTCTCGCTGTCTGTATCGTGTAGGTATGTAATACATAGGTATACAACCGATATTCTCCACCGTCGGGCGCTGAAGACAGTACGCTGTGTAGGAGTGCGACAAGGACAGCGTGATGCGCAGGAGTGCGACAAGGATACCTCGGAGCGCAGGAGTGCGACGGGGATAGCAAACCGGTGCCAACGGCCGACCTAGATCCGTCGTCCTTGAGCGTGTTGTAACGGATCGATCAGCTGACACTCACAATATTGACGAGTATTATCAGTAGATTTTATTTCCTTGTTTATCACTGCACAACACAAGCACTGGAATTTTGATATCACACCTGTACAACGCAAGATCGGAGCTATACACCGATGCAAACTTTATACGAAACTTCGAATTATAATGACAGATAAAGCTGTTATTCACGTGGGCAAGTAAAAACGATGTTGCTTCGGTAACAGTCGCGCGTATTATGTTGAGGGCAAGTTTTCAAATTCTAATTCATTTATTTGTCAAATTTTGGGTATATAAACATATACAAAGGTGTTATAGCCAAGTCAAATGCTAACAAAAATCTGCCTAATTCGGCGTACAAATATTACATAAAAAATCAAATTAGATTAAATTATGTCATGAATTCATAATAAATGTCAATAATAAAATTAAACAATGCAAAATTAAATCAAGTGAATAAATTACAATATTACGCGTGAATTGGTTTTTAATTAGCATACAGATAATACTCGTATTATAATGTTATGTCATTTTGATAATCTTTTGCAGTATAATAATTAATAACATATGTCAAGTAGAAAATATACAAATTAGTTTTGAATGAGCCGAGTTTCTATTCATTAATATTACTTTTATGTGTGGAAATTTGCGCTTTCATTGGATTTTTTTTATAAAATTGTACTGCTATCAAAAACTTGGAATTATTGATAAAAATCCTCCTTTAAAGCCGATGTTAGAGAATGGCAATGATTTATTGTTTAACTGTTTTTTAAACTTTATTGGAGTGTCAAAATTGAACATATGTAACCAAAGAATTGTTCAAAATGCAATTCATAATTTTTGTACAATCACTTTGAAATTGTGGCTGCAATAGTAAAAAAAATCGAAATAAATATATTGTATGGCTAAAGAAAATAATTATAACTGCTGGTGGTGCACCATCTAGTTCTTCAATTGCTTTAAAGAAAAGACTTTCCTGACTTAGCCGATAAAATCAAACGCAGGTATTTGAATATCGAGTCAAAAAGCAAAGAATAGTTATGCTTAGCTGTTGTTTCAATGAAACTACACTCTTAAGTGTCCTTAAGAGTGTAGTTTCATCACTCATACTTGACGTTTCTGTGTCTCCAGAAAAAGCTAGTACTGTCGATAAGAATTCTATTCCTCAAGAACATATTTCGTATTCTCCTCAAGCTTTACATTTATTTATCGAAATAAAATTTGAAACTGCGGATTCGGATGATTCTCATATATTTATGAGTTCTTTAGTTCCTATTCGTGTATATTCAGTTAACAATCGAGATAATATATACTGGTAATATCAGCGAACCAATTCTGTGCGATTTTGTAGACCAATTCAAATGGGATTTGTTAAAGAGACTGATTGCATAATGCTTTCTCATTATGCAATCAGTCTCTTTATTTAAAAAAAACATCAGTTCCCGAAATCAAACTAGATCTCGCTTCGGTACTAGCTTGATTTCTCCATGACAACCCTTCCTGTTTTCTTTCATGTATAAAAGTAAATTGGTTTTCAAAACTCAATAAACAACTATTTATACTTTTTCGTATTTGTATTGATATCTAAGTTTCGACCATTGCAAATTTCAGGTTTTTAATAATAGGGCTTAAAGTATGAAATTGCCGATTTCTGTATAAAATCAAAATTGTTTATTTTTTAATAAAATGTATTTAATCAAAATTGTTACCATTATTGTCTATACATTGTTTCCATCTAATAGGAAGGTCATTTATGCCTTTGCGATAAAGTTCTGAGGATCTAGACTGCATAAACTGAAAATATTTTGGGTCTGACGCAGAACGTGCACTTCGCAAAATGTGCACTCGACAAAAAATGCGCTTTTCGCATTTGGTGCACTTCTCAAAATGGGCACTTCGCAGAATGATCATTTCGCAGAATGAGCATTTCGCAAAATGAGCACTTCGCAGAATGAGCACTTCGCGGAATGAGCACTTCGCGGAATGAGCACTTTTTGTGGAAGTTTTTAATTAATAAAAAAGAAATGGGTACTGCGTATTTAAAAACAAATAAGTGAAGAAGTGTACCAAATGCGAAAAGCGCATTTTTTGTCAAGTGCACATTTTGCGAAGTGCTCGTTCTGCGTCAGACCCAATATTTTGTACTGCCTCCTGGGAAGAATACTTCTTGTCACGTACAAAATAGGGATGACGACTAATCCGTCAGGTGGATTATTGAAGAATATTAAATACGTATTTTTTTTATTTTTCGCGTATTCAATAAATTACGGCGATACATTGAGTTGAAATGTCGCATGACGTCACCCTATGGTACATTTTCTACAAAACTGTGACGTAGCAAGCCCCCAATCCTCAACTTTAATGCCTAATAACTAAGCCATTTCTTGTTCATATTGAAGAAAAAAAAATACGTATCTAATATTTTTCTGTTATCTGACTGCCGGACTAAATAGAAATTCTTTTTTTTTTACCCAGTTGTCATCCCTATTGTTCAAATCACGAGAAAAATGGTAGTGCGTTGTAGCAAGGTGTGGGGAATACGGAAGATGACGAATGGTTTCTAACGCTCCTGAAGGGTCAAAACGGTTTCTTGTGCTGTATGAGGTCTCGCGTTGTCACGGCCCAATAATAGTGAAGATTTGCTGCTAGTTTTGCTAACATTGTTCGGAGATCGGCATAATAGACATCTGCCGTTATTGCTTGACCAGATCGGAGAAAACTATAGTGAAATATTCCTTATTCCTTCATTTCTATACCGATTCAACAAGGCGACACAAGTTTCAACACGCGTTTCTTTCTGCAGATCAGTCAAACGAGGCACCCATCTTTCGTTTTTTTTATTTTATTGATTTGACGCAAATGAGTCAAATGTTGTGGATAAGGTAACATTAAACCATGCCGCTAATTCCTGGGTAGTTTGACTAGGATCGGCTTCCACCATCTGTCTTAATTCATCGTTATTCACCTGTGTGGGCGGTCTTCCTCGTGGCTCGTTCTTTTCCATTGTCGAATTTTCCATCACGAAAGCGTTTAAACCAAAATCGCACAGTGCGTTCATTAGCAGACCCCTCTCCAAACGCAACATTGATATTGCAGGCTGTTACTACCGCGTTACTTCCGCGTCGGAACTCTTATTAAAAAATCACTCGAATTTTCGCAGTATCCATCTTTTTTGTGTAAGTTGAATAACAAAAACGATTGAAAGTCGATATTCAAATGATTTACATTTTTAAAAAGAAGAACATCATAGAAACCATGTGAAAAAAGTTTCCTCAAACCAAGAAGGCTCTATGTCAATTCAAGGAACCTATTACAATAAAACGTTAATTTCATACTTTAACCCCTAATATGTTAGTTAAAAGGAGGAAATGACTATCTTTGGTCCATTCGTTTCCTGCAAAAATCAACTTTTGCTAGAGTCGCCATCTAGTGGATGGAGTTGGTTCTTTAGTGGTTTCTTTTTTTTTTAATACTTTCTCAATGTTGCCTAGAGTATTAGCACAGAATATACTCTCTTATTGATTACAAATATAAATAATTGTTATTTAACATAAGTTCATAAAGTTTAAAGAATATACGTATAATCTTTAAACTTTATTAGCTATTAACTATAATGACATAATTGAACTTTTTATTTAATTGTTGTTCGATCTATTATGAAGCTCAATACGAGATTTACATTAAAACTATTGTTTGTGCCGATTGCAGGTAGATTATCAAACATTGAGCACGGCAACACACCTATTGGTTCTCCTCAGCGCAACAGGTGGCTCGGAAATCGACCAAGGTCTGGTCTATGGAAAAGAAAAGACGGTAGACACGGAAGAAAGATCAGACCCCCTAAGCCGGTCAAGGAAATTGCACACAATACCAAGTCAAAAATACCTGCAATCCAGATGACAATGCATCCTTAGAATGCATGTATATAGATGAATGAATGATTGTTATAATAAAATTAAGATTGTATTTAGTTTTGAGAGTATTTTGTTTTATTTTACAGTTTGATGCCCAGTTGATTAAACATCCGTTAAAACTCTGGTTAAGGTTTAATGTCGACTGTAAGCTCTAATGAATCGGTCAGTTGTACAAACGTCCACTAAGGTTTAATGACGACTAGGTTCTAATAAAAGTTCTAAATTTGAAAATTTGTATGGGTATGGTATTATACATTAAACTAATGACAATTTTAATGGAGCTGCATGTGAGAGTAAGATATAGCACCATTTTTGTCTATGAAAGGTAAATACAAGATGATTTATTCTATATATATATATGGGCCAAAATACTTTTTTATGCCTAAAAACCTGTCCCTTTGAACTAACGTTGAATTTTACGGTAAAACACTACAAAAGTGTAAAATAAGTATGCTAATTTTAAAATATTACATTATTGTTTAATAGAGAACACAAGATTTGACCAGTAAAAATACATCATTATAACAAAAAATATAGTAACAATGTTGTCATTCTTAGTAACGCATTTGTTCTTCATACAAAATACAGTTGTCCTTGAGCACATGTCTCAAGCTTCTATGGATTTTTTTCCACAATATTTCCTAGGTGGCGATTCATAATGAATTCCGCTTTAAAAATTTAAACCCTTAACCTTATTTATAATGCCAATAAATATTTTTTAAACAAATAATTATTGGAGTAAAAAATTATTTTGACTGTGTCTCTAACAAATACTAAAATCGTAACTACCTTGCGTTGCTATATGAAAATAAACCTTTAAGTGAGTGTATTACCCTTTTTTGCACTTTATTCGGCTTTACATATTGTAACTCGTATAACGAACGATGGCAACCGCGGGGGAAGAGGATGCTCGTCAGATCAGTCGCGTCGGAGTCGTCGGGAGAGGTGCGTGTATTTATTGCGTGGCCGCTGAGTTACCACTGTCGAAAGGTACGTATTGACAATATTTACATAATATTTGTTTTATATGTAGTTTGTCACGTATTGGATCTGTCAGTGTTAGAATATTTCCACTTTGTTATTTCATTTAGTGATTATATACAACATAGTCAAATATTTACAACTGCGTTACTGCTACACTGCGTTACTTGAAAATGTAACGCAGTTGTTGCATTGGTAACGCAGTTGTGAATATTTGACTATGTTGTAAATAATCACTAAATGAAATACCAAAGTGCAGATATTCTAACACTGACAGTACAAAGACATGACTAACTACATATAAAAATAAATCATATATTTGTCAATGTTGGTGATACGTTATTTAAGCCTTAATTTTCATATATTGTTTCTTTTTTTATCTTAGAGAAAAGATTCTGCGCTAAATGGCGTTAACAAACGCAGAAAAACAACGTCGCTATAGGCTTAAATTAAAACTAGACCCGGTGAGAAATGCTGAAGCTATGAAAAAACACCAAGAAAGGTACCATGCAAATAAAAAACTCGTCAAAGATATGACAGAGCGAGAACATAGGAGTGCTAAGCGTAAATGGAAAACTGCAAATAAGAAACGTCGAAAACGACAAAAAACTGCTCAACAAATTATGGACATTACACCGACGTCGAGCCCGCGGTCAGGAACTCCAGTTTTCCGAGGTCTAGAGGCCGAAAATAAATACGAAGAGATAGATATGTAGTGTACAGAAATAATTTGAAATTGCAGGAAGAAATAGAAAAGTTGAAAAGAATGTGTAGTAAATATAAAAAGAGATACCAAAGAGCTAAAACGTCAATCAAACACACGGAACAAGTAAATAAGCTCAACCAAAATAAGTATTCAACATTATCCAATGCCATCAAAGACCATTACAGAAGTTTGAAGTCAATCAAAGAGAAACAATCATTAAAACAAATTTTCAAGGAGAAGGCTTATCTAACTCTCAAATAAAAATTGCTATTGTACGCGAGACGTTGGGAATTGATCTGATGAAAGTGATGAAACGACAGCAGAATACCTTAAAGAAAAATCTGGTAAACAGCATTAAAAGCTTTTTTGTTCGTGACGATGTTTCTAGAGCTACGGCTGGAAAACGGGAAACTGTCACTTGTAATAAAATTAAAACACAGAAGCGATATTTACTAGACACAATGAAAAACCTATTTCATTCTTTTAAAAAAGAAAATCCAGAATTGAGATGTTCTTATTCGTATTTCATTAAAAACAGGCCATTTTATATAAAGCCACCTTCAGTTTCTGGAAGAGAGATTTGCCTATGCAAGATATGTACATACTACTGCGCAGTATATTTTAGATGCTCTCTACAAAACCATGGTTATCGCTCACCAAAACACTGAAGGAGTTAAGCAAGGTCCGTTTGTATTTAGTGACGTACAGTGACATACAAAACATTGAAAAAGCTCTACCTAAAAACCTTGTACCACTTCAAGGTACGATGCTAGTACATCAAGTTTTTACTGACACTCCCGGTGAACTTCAATATAGAGATCTCAGTTGCTTTTGCCAAAGAGGTTTTTGCTCATGCATGAGCCCAAAAACTTATCACCCTGTTCCTGCTCCCGTTATTGACACACTTACAAAAGGTATTCTCTTGAATGGATTGGATGAGGAAGTAGTTCTCGATGATATTTTATATATAATTACCGTACCTAGAAGAACATTTTACAATACGGTTTATTCCACACCTTCCAGCTCTGATGACGAGTTCTTAGCCAGCTATAGCCAAACATCAGTTTCTAATATAAAAGAAAGGCAATTAATTGAAAAGGAAAATATTCATCCTACAAAGATATCAGACGGTGTCCATGTCTTAGTAAAAGTGTCTTCTGTTAAAGACAAACATTACACTTATCTAGGTGTTGCTAAAAGTGAAGTTGATGAAGAAGGAGACGTCAAAATTATGTTTTACAAGACAGTAGATAAAACTGGTAAAAGGTTCAAAGCAGTAGATACTGATATTTCTTACGAACCTTACGATAACATCTTAGAAATTGTTCCTAATCCTAAAATTGTCGTAAAAGATAAAAGGATATACTTTGATTATGATAAGCCATTAAAGGTCTTTGAAAAGTAGGACTGATTTGAAAGTGTTCCATTAGTTATTAAGGTTGATTTTGTGATATTTAATTTTTTGAGTTTTTAAATTTATTTCATTGAAGATACTTTATTTTATATCGAGTCATAGGAAGTTATATTTTGTTATGTTTTTATCGTTATACTAGATCTCTATAGAAAGTACAAATATTGTATGTACAAGAATTGTAAGTAAGAAAATACTACCGTGTTACTGGGCTTACTACTGCGTTACTTTTGTGCCCCTCCGATTTTTTATAGTATTTTCAATATATCTATGATTCTTATTATTTAACGTACTTTCATTTCATACTCATCATATTACTCATCAAAATTGAAAGATTATGTTGTAAGTTGGTATTAATTTTAAGTTTTTATTTGTGATAAATAGAAAAGTTTATGTTATAAAATTAAATTTTGGTAACGCAGCAATCCAAAGTAATAAGGATACTCTATGAAACTGATAACTTCTGTGATTTAATTTTATAAGAAGTTAATTATAAGCGTTACAGTTTAAAACTGACACGTTGTGATTCTTTTTGTACAAGATTAATAAAAATTCAAAATAAATTCAAAATGTAACGCAGTTGTTTAATTTTCCGACACCTTCATATATTGTTGACCATAATTAACTCATTTAAACTAACGCTGCAGAGGTAGGTACATTATAAACCGAACTATAACGTATCTATATCTGCATATAAAAATAAGAATATTAATATTTTTATAAAAAAAAGAAATTTAAAATCGTATGTTTAGATTAGGCATTAAAAAGTATTTTAGCCCATATATATATACACTAGGTCCTATGCCAACTACATCGCCCGCGTGGTGTAGTTTTCATAATTAGTCAATAAATGAGAAAATTACATATAAACTTCACCCCCTTAGCGGATGAATTTCTAAAAATCCTTTCTCAGTGATAACTTGCAATCTTTGTACCAAATTTCTAGGTACAGTAGTTTCGGCTGTGCGTTAATATATAAGTCAGTCATGTTTGCTTTCTCAATATTTGTACTTATGTATAGGTAACATGTTCCTACCTCTACAGTAGATTAGGATAATGCGTTATACAAAGTCTTTCTCTATTTGACTTTTTGATCTTGCAGACTCAGTGGAGGACCCACTAATTCATATTCGTAGAAAAAAAAGAGACCCTTCACGGATCCATCAAATTAGCACTGACTGACATTAGTGCATCGAGTGAGATAACCTGACGTACGCACAGGCGTACAATAAGTCCTAAATCTTTGACGATCATTCCCGTACCTCGAAACTCGTGTGAACTAGGTAATATAATCACCTTCTCGCGAAATCTCGGACTTTTTTAGCGAGACTAAACTAAAGCTCAAGATCTCGGTCTAAAAATGGGTGAGATCTCGCGAGTAACGAGATTGCACTCAAGCACAAAAACGACTTATTCCAAGTGCGGCAGCGTGAATTTATGCAAGTCCAAAATCAAGCGTAAATTCAAGGGGTCAAAAGGTGAAGTTTTTAAATTTTCTCAGCGGCCGGTTATCTGACCAGCACAATAAGGAGAAAGAAAGAACCAGCCACGGTGCTTTTCCACTACGTCACCGAGCTACTCGACCAGCGTCATGTGCCTCTTAATAATTTTTAATTGCAATTTAAGCTAAATGTGGAATAAAATAATTGAAGTGAGTTGTGAATATTATATATATCTTCACGTCGTACCCCTGACGGGGCAGGCAGAGAGGATCGAACGCCACAATGAACGGTCTTACATACACCTTTCGCCTCATACAGTTTCATTACTCTTTTTTTACATATTCGACGGTTTTTAATTACATTATAAAAATAAATGAAAGAAATATATATTATTCAATATATATGATAATATTTATTTATCTACATTATCAAAATAAACAACTGGTAATAGCAGATCAAATTGAAAAAGATACTTTTTCAAATATTTATTCCAAATTCAAATATTATATAAAAGTAACACTGGCCTTTCTCACGGGTGCTCAGAGCATCGCAGTTTCTAAAATACTTATAGTGAAACGGGAGTGTTAGAAGTACGTAGTAATTTACTTTTCAGTGATGCAACGATTAGTACTTTAGGCAATACGATATATTTTATAAGATACAGTAAGCTGAATCTGATTCCTACATCAGACAAGATAAAGCGCGGCAAATATCTACCAAGCGGAATTATTCAAGTATAACGTGACTTGATTCACTAATCGGACGATCCACCAAAATCTACGCACCTAACTACGAATATTCGTATTCATTGAATCACTGTTATACTTTAATATTACCGCTTCCTTATAATATTTTCTTGGCATTTACACAAAGACGAATGTAAACATTTTAAAATATCACAATAAATAAAGCTTAATGCAACATTAACAATATTTGCAGCTGCTATAAAGGTCCTTATATTAGTGCTATACCTATTCGGCTGCATATTAATTAAATTCTGGGAAGTATTCTTGTTCATTCATCATCATCATCAGAGAGTGCCAACATCTGAAATAAAAAAATTAACAAATAACTGAGTTTTGATTGCGATGGTTAAATATATTATTTTTTAGAGCAGATATTAACATATATTAAAGGAAAGATAGTATGATTAGCTCCTTTTACTAAAATATTAATAAGAGTAGGTAATTAAATACTAGTAATTATTTTTTTAAACAATTTAAATAAAACGCGTGACTAGTAAGTTGAACTAAAATGGCAACTGTGCAGTAACACATTTCGGTTCATCTTGCGTGCCGCGCATTATGTTTAAGAGCCATATTACATCTCAACTGTGATTTTTGGGTAAAATGGTCAATTTTGGCGTTCTCGATTTCAGAAACAAAAATATATTAAATATTTTGACTTGTTCAATAGCGCACAATAACTCTTGCCATACATAAGTCGTAGTGGCCTTACTTTTTGGAAATTTTGCTTATCTTTTTAATTAAACCGCAAACAGCAAAGAAATATTTTCATAAAATGCGAAGACACTTTTTTGAGCTCCTGGATCGAGCTACTGTTCTAAACAAATGAAATAGAATGATTTCTCTTATACAAAAACAACACCAAAAATTGCTTGAAGTTAACTGTGAATTTCTCCTATCTGCGATAATATTATTGAGAAAAGTTTATAACAGAATAATCATTACTTCATAAGGAATAAAGATTTCATAATTGTAAAGCATAAATTATTATCTCATTTTAACAAAAACGATAAATGTAGTGATTTTGCTACAAAATGCGATGCACCAATGGCCGTCTGAGCTCAGATCAGAACAGCGCGTCACTGGGGATGATGTAACGTTTCTAATGATACCCCTATACGTTCACATCCGTTGTCTTTCCAAAGCTATGGGGGAATAAAAAAATCTCACATACGTAGATTAAACACAATAGACTACTTGTTAGTTGTGTTAAAATGTTCGGGAATCGATAAAGAATCACACACAAATACTAAAAAATGTACAAAAATTGAGAAAAATTATCAAAATAGCTTGGTCGTTGATTCAACACACTATTATGAACTCGCGACTTTGAACAAGTTGTCGAAAATTCTGGACGCTTCAAAATACCTTATCTCACAGAGTGCAAATTTGTAATAGGGCTCTTAAAATACTGTCTCCTTACATCAGTCATTTCAGCAGCCAAATGCAATTCCGATAGTCCAGTCACATCTTCTAAGTAAGTACCACTATTAAAGACTTTCAACAAGAACTCTGTTCTTTCTTCCTTATATTTATTAATTACGATATCTGAGCACGCGATACACTGCTTGAATTTGGCACAAGTCGGGAGTACGCTCTGGAATGAATGAAGGAATCCTCTAATAGAATGGGGGATTGGACCCAAAACTCCTTGCATGTCTGGCGGAAGATCATTTGCTGTGTCGCTTGACAGATTATATATTGCAGGAGCATCAACCCTGTAAAACGAAATAAGTATTTTTATACAACCAAATAGTAAAATACTAATGGGTTCATCAGTGCGGCTCTTTCCTATCAGAAGCTCTTCCCAAAATTACTCAATAGATGTGCACATCTTACTGCTATAGTTATTGAAATATATTTCCGCCCTGTCTTTGGTATATTGCGTTGCTATGGTTACCTGATGCGTTTCACTCCCGCAGCAATTAAAATTAAAATTTTTATATTTTAAATAAAATTATTTATAATAAATTAAAATTTAAATACAATATAAATATTAAAATGTGCCAGAAAATGCACAGAATACAGAAAATTTCAGTGTTCTGTAAGAAAATGTGCTACTGTCCAATGGCCATTTTAGTTAAACTTTCGTGTCACGCATAAAACCAGAATTTTCTGTATAACCCCAGGAATTTGTAATCAGCCCGAGTAGTATGTATGACCTTAGAGCAAGGGTTCCCAAACTTATTTTATTTACTGCCCGCTTTGAGAATAAATTATTAATTAGCTGCGTTATTTTTTTACCTACTTAAAAACCTCTGTAACTTCAAATTAAATTCATTCAATATTGTAAGCTATATTGGCGGAGATTAAACAATAATTTTAAACGAGACTATTACTATAACTCGCAAGAGTTAAACTGAAACCTGAGTGCAGTAGGTAATACACAACGGCGCTCAAGTTAACTCTTACGGGCTACACTTGTCAATGAAAATGATTATTGAAACGTAGCTTTATAATAGTATTCAGAGTATATTTTATTCAAAATAAGACAGACAATTGATTCTATTCTTGTAAAATTCTTGGTAACCATTTTTTTATTTGATTTTTATTTCTTCGTTTGTTGTCAATGAGGAAGTATTTTAAAAAAACTAAAGTACTTAAAAAAGCTCCTCCACTAGATGGCGACTCTAGTAAAAGTTTATTTTTGCAGGAAACGAATGGACCAAAGACAGTCATTTCCGTTCCTTTTAACTAACATATTAAATAACTGAAATTTGAAAGTTCGAAACAAATACGAAAAAGTACAAATAGAACATGAGTGGTTTATTGAGATTTGAAAATTAATTTGTTTAAAAAACATGAAACAAAACCAGAAGGGTTGTCATGGAGAAATCAAGAACGTACCATAGCGACATCTAGTTTGATTTCAGGAACTAATGTTTTTTTATACTTCCTCATTCTATAAGTTCTTCTTCCAGCTGAAGTGACATTGCTGTGTTGACATTGAAAATGGAGCCAACACTCAGTCTGGTATAACAAAGTTCAAAATGTCCTGATATTGTTCGGTGGAGTCAATATTGGGTTTTTCAAATGTTGGCAGCAGGCAAATAAATCGTCGTTACTGCAGGATTTTGATAAAGTCGGAAAATTGTGAAACTAACATCTGCCCTTTTTCTGTAGAAGCAGTTTGGCTGCGAGAGCAGCGACGATGTTTTTTGTTTTAATTAAATTTAGTTCATCGCATTGCATTTGGACATTTATGTCGTTGAACAATTTATACAGGTCTGTCATGTAAACTATATCATTCTTTGATGTAATGAGCTTGTTGTGCAATTCTGTAGGATCTTTAGTTTCCAAGAACTCTATCACAGAGTTAAACAGGTTGTAAAATCAAGTCAGACAAATGCCTCCTGTTAGCCACCGAACTTCAGTATGAAACGACAAACGGTTAAGAAGCTTTCATAACATATTGTAGTGATTGAAATAGCCGTTCACTTAAGTTTCTAGCAACCAAATGTTGTCTACGAATACAGTATGTTATCTATGAATACAGTATGTTGTCTATGAATACAGTCTGTTGTCTATGCGTACCGTACAGTAAGGACATCTGGAGTTTCGTTTATTAGTGTGCTACGAAGCCTTTGACACCTTGTCAAGATGCATTTTATTCAAATGCTTCATTGATTCATTCGAAAATGTTTTAAGACATAGAAGGCACAAAGGCGGTGATAGCTTTGTGGGATTTTCAATTTCAGTATGTGGGAATCCGAATTTAATATATTCCAGTCGATTGATACAGGAATTCAGGTTATTTAACAAAAACTTGTTTAACATGATTGCCCGCGATCTACTCTATGAAAATTATCCATCTAGGAGTACTTATCAAAATGCAAAAGTATGTCTGTTGCCTTTTTATTTGTTTGTGACTATTTTTATTTCGAAACGGAGCGACCGATTGACATGATTACATTTTATATATTCAATAAGATAAGGTAGATATATGACCTATGCTGAGAAAATAATCGAACCGAGTTTGAGCAATCTCTTAACTAATATTAGTTGATATTCATAAGTTGTAGTTGAGAGTCGAAAGTTCATGCAGTAGGTGTCTAAGAGGCCTCCTAGCTAAATGAAGTTACAAATCACCCACCCACCAAGCTTCTACACAACAGCCCCATTTTTATTCTCGGTCTCTTACTGACCCTCATTAGGCCTGCAGCGCCCACAAGGGGGCATTGTCGCCCATTTTGGGAAAGCTTGCCTTAAAGTATGACGAACTTAAGAACGTGTTGTCTACACTCTTGTCAATATCACTTTTCTCAGGACGAGCGAGAGTGAGATATCGTATATTGGGCTCACACGAGCATAGTGTAGAGAAAGTGTTTCTCGAGTTTGTCATGCTAAGCGTGCAGTAAACAAATTTTAATAATGTGCACGCTATTGTAAATCATATTCAGGTGGAGGGTTCATGTTAAACGCAATTTGGCTTTTACGTAAAATTTTGATATAAACGTTATTTCCTTACGCCTTTGGATGTTGTAGCATGGCAACCAATAGTTCAACAGCGAGTGCACCAGCCACGGCTGAGGCGCCAGGCCTTGTCACCGTGCACTGTTGGTCTAAAGTTCGGTCCTTCGAAGACTGCAAGTTAAATGCATTATTAAATGAAAAAGAAAATCTAAGTATTTTTTTTTCACAACGATGCGGGGCATCTTTCTTTTTGGTATGAGCATTATGAGAAAATAGTTGATATGCTCAAAATTAAAAAGATAAGAGACTCAACATGACACGTCACATGTATGTGAAAAGTAGTGTGCAAAAAAGTAGCAATTTGAAACTTATTAATACATTATATAAAAAAGTTAAGACAGGATAATAAATAATATTTTATCTTAAGTATACCTTAACAATAAACAAAAACTTGACAATAATCCTATATCATTATCAAAGAGAGAATAATTTTATTATTACGCTTAACCGTTATTATACCCTCTATCACAAAAATAACACTTTCATTATCGTATTCACTTCACAAAAATGCTATAAATAATAATAGATTTAACTCTATTATTACATATAAATAATTATTTATATATATTATTATACCACTACCATTGTAGATAGAGTTCAAAATTTATTGAGGAAATTTGACATATTGTGGTAGTCATGAGTAAAAAAATAAGTAGACGAAAACCATACATTGCCTGGAGCAGTGACGTCGTTGCAGAAATAGCAGCCTAGTTGTTCCCCGGATATAAAAACATTCTCGTGCGAAGTTTCACCAATCACAGTGGAATTGCTAATACCGTGTCGCATCACTAAATAACTGTCGAAACCCAGAGCTGCATTTATGGTTATCTGAAACAATTAATACCATATATATATAGTAAGTAGTATTAAGAAGTATACACAATTTTATTTATTATTATACTACCAATAAAAAACAATAATATCATTAAACAATCTCTAAACAAATTGGTGTTACCATAGACTAGATCATAGGTTCCCAGACTCATTTCATTTACTGCCCACTTTTACAATATTTTTTTTGCGTCCCCATTTTGACACCTACTTTTAACCACTATAGCATCAAATAAAATTAATTATTGTGAGCAGATATTAAACATTCATTCTAAACGAGACTTTTACTATAACCCGCAACAGTCAACTTTAGACATGAATACAGTAGGTAGTACACAGGTCTCTTCTTAACCTTTCTAAGCCTCTACACAACGCCCCCATTTATTTTTCTGGCTCTCGTACTGCTCCATTTAGGCCGGCAGCAGTCACAAGGGGGCGTTATCGCCCACTTTGGGAAAGGCTGGACTAGATACATAAATGATATACATACCTTTCCATAATAAGATGCGATCAATGTCGGCAACCACCTCGCTTCTCTTGTATCTAGCAGTAGAAATACAACGTCGTGCTCTTTGATAGAATCCGTGATAAGTTTTATATTTTTTATTGTCTCATCTTTCAACGATTCGCCTACAGGGTGACCAGGCATGGGAATGTGTGCCACAATGCCTTGGCTATTCTAAAATAGATTAAGAGTTTAAAACTTACAAAAAACAATGGAACTATTAAGATATATTTACTAATGTCTCATAAAATTTAGGATGTTAATTTTGTTGGCAAATATAACAAAGCGTCATGCTTGATATTACTTAAACCTTATTAGAAATAAATTTTACATCAATGAAGCTCTAAGGCAGTAGTTGTGTCCTACCAGGTGGGTATAGATTATTGCTTTAAGATTTGGTAAATATTTTGGTTAGTGGTTAGTGATTAGTGACTTGGTAAGTGACATATATTTTTGTCTGGTAGTGTTTAATAAACTATTACCAATAATCACACTTTTGTGCTTATTATATTTATAATATTGGTTAAATAAATTATGATTTTGAATATTAAATATGAATAATATTTCTTAAAATATTTTAAGGTGTATTTCATATTTATCTATTAAATAAAAATAAAAAAATTGTTAGGGGACTGGCTACTTTGATAACAAGCTTAGCACCATGCCATGTTTTTCATTAACAAGCTCTCTTCTCAGTAACATAATAAACTAAAAGTGACTTAATAATAATAAACTGAACCTAGCTCAATTATAGCTTTGTACTTACTACAGTTGGCAGTATTAGTTTAAGATTGTCAGCAGCAGCTTCGGCTTTTTTCCTTCCACCGCCGAGGGAGTCCTGATAATTGAAGAGAACTTGCCGTGTTGGATTTGAGTATGATACTTTACCGTTATCAATAAAAGTGATGTGTCGGAAACCCCATGCCTGAAATGGCAATGTAAATCATCATCAGCGCTTTTACGTCCCCACTGCAGGGGCTCAGGCCTTCTTTTTGGATGGTTAAGAAGGATGGGCCATGATCCTCCACGTTGGCCCAATGTGGTTTGGAGGGTATTAACGACTGTAAATGCAGCCGGACCAACGGCTTAACGTGCCTTCCGAAACACGGAGTAGCTCAAGATAATAATTTTTTGGTCACCCATCCTGTGACCGAAACTTGCGAAAGTTGCTTAACGACAACGATCGCGGGCCGTGGCGCTTATCCACTACGCCACCGAGTTACATGTAAATATAAGGACACAAACACTATTCTATCAAATTAAAATTATTGTGAGCAGTTATATTATTATGTGGTATTAAGTACAATCTGTAACTGATGTTGTCTTTAGAAAATTTATTGGTTGATAGTTACTGCATTCATAAAATGGGTAATGACTCTATGATTTGTAATGATGCAAATATAAAAGTTACCAATAAATTCCGTGCAACATGACATCCCAGAGTACCAGCTCCAAGTAAAAGACATTTTGTTGCCTTCATTACGTCTACATTTATGTCAGGAACCAAACGCCATTTCATTAATTTTATGTTTAGATCTGAAGCCGTAGCTGCTAATCTGGAAGAAAATCATTAACACATCAGCTGGAAAACATGCTCTGAATATCTACAAAATATAAGAAAAGGAATTAAAGCAGCTTACTTTATGGGATCCATGGATGCAGACATGTTTGCCAGCTTTGGACCAAAGTTGCCTTTATCATTTCTTTCCCAACCTACCCATCCTGCACTATCTACTGTTTGGAGACTCTAAAATAATATATTTTTTGTAAGCATTTTGTTATTCCTGATTATCATGTCAGCTTTGTCAATATGACCCAGATATTAATGGTGTCAGATCATGTAATCTTCTTGGCATCATCAACACATTTTTGATTGAGAATTTTGAGATTCAATAAATTTTTTACCTTTTCAATTTTTGGATTATTTATTAGCATAGTCTTAAGCTGCTATATGAGGCCTATGCTCATAAAGTTATAAAGTTAAGATGATGATACTGATTAAACTGCTATGCATGTGAGTACTAACCTGTGAAGATTTTGTTGTGAAAATAAGACTATTTTCAATACCACCATTAACACTGCACCGCAACCCAATTATTTGTAAATTATTCTTATGTAAATTTGGATAAAAATCAAACAAAACAGCTAAAAATAGACGAAGTGACCAACCAGGATTATTACCATTACTTGAGTCAAGAAATGCAAAATATGTATTAGTGATGTCCAAATCTAATTCCCACTGAGACATATCTTTTCTTTGTAAAACTTTAGATAATATATCAACACATATACCAGTATCAATACTGTTTTTTCTAACAACAAAAAAACATCTTTGTTGAATATCAAGTGATTTAAAACCTTGTGCAAGTTTGACAAGTTGTTCTTTATTAAAATGATTGGAAATGCTTTTACTCTTTTCACATAGATATATTGTGGGTTGACTGGGTGCTGGAAAGGCAAACCAGTAATAGTAGTGGAATTTTTTAAGGTCCTGCAAAAGAAAATTAGAAATATATTTTTATATTATACAATAATAGTAGACAACATTTCTTTTTAAATAAAAAATATGAATTTCCTATGATATTTTGATTAATGCAACATATTTAGTTACTTATACTTACAGCAAAAGAGAGCACAATAAAATTTAACAAACATGAAGGGTTTGTAATCCATGATCCTGATTTCAGGTCTTTCCATAATGCTTCTCCAACAGTATTAAGCAAAGACGCTTTATCGATGTTCTTGAAGTCTTCAATAGTATTTTTATTTAACAACCTGCCAGTCAGATTTTGGTAAAACATTTCGTCTTCTGGAGTGCTGGAAGTTTTACATAAAATATTATGATTATAAGGCATGAAGTTTATAATAGTTTTAATGTGTTTGTTATTGAAACTTGTTACCTATTAAAAGAAGTCCCATCTACTTCGAATAAAGATCCTAAATCATTTCGATATGTGAAGCGTCCATAGATTTGTTTAGAGCTTTCATTCAACTTGTCAACATCGAGCTTCTGTTCAGTAAGAGTATGCCAGAATGAAGGGTGAACAAAAGACATGAAGGGAACATACTGTATGATACCAGTTTCGTTTTCGGAAGAACTCATGATGTTACGGTTTTACTGGTATAATAACATAAAAGTTAATTCATTATATCAGAAACGTCCGGCGATTCAACGTAAATTTCTATCAATTCGAGATTTTAATTTTTATAATATACACCAAATTTATCATAACGCTAATAATATAAAGTAAGACTATTTTATTTACATAAAGTAAGAATCTTCCACACAATCTTCGACTAGCACTTTGACATTTATATTGACAATCGCTGTCAAAAACAGCTGTGCTACCTTTATGTTGTCTTTTTCTATTTAGTTTGAATTAATAAAGGAAAGGCATTTAAATATGCCATACGGCCAAAACAAAACTAGACTCTTTTTCTATATAATGTTGTCTTGATGTTATTCTTCTTTATATTTAAATATGTTGAACTGTACTTTGGATATATTTGTAGAGAACCAAATAATACTGGGTATTTTTTTTAAAGTTTATCGTATCGCAGGCGGGATGTTATCTGCCTTTTTGTAGATTTCCAACTTTTTGGTTGTAATTATACAAAAATAATTGTACTAAGAAGTGTGCACATTCAAAAAATATATATCCAAACTTTGATTTCCAGAATTTCAAAAGTTACATGATGGGGAGATCATGCGCATTCTATGCAAGTGCTCATTAAATCGTCCATAATTGGGCTATGTTCAGTTTATTATTATTAAGTCACTTTTAGTTTATTATTATTATGTTATTACATCGTTTCGTATTTCTTCTAATATCTAACTTTGAAATTAATTTTAATTTATTTGAATCGTAATTTTAAGTTATTTATTATGTGACGTGTCAAGGAACGATGTTTGGTTTATATGTCAACATTAGTGATTAGCCAACTTATTGGTTGCTTTACTTCAAGTATTTAAAAAAATAAAGAAACTACAAAAAATGATGTCGCTAGATGGCAGCACAAATTGTTGGATCTAAACGTCAATGAGGAAGTATTTCAAAAATAAAAATTAGTTCTTGAAATCATACTAGATGTCACTCGCGAGTTTTGGATTTTGTTTATGATGTTCATTCAAATTTTATTTCTGACGTAATAAATGTAAATTGAGTATTTTCGATTAATAAATATGACATCGTTTTGTGTTTCTTATAATGTCTCACTTTCAAACTAATTTTAATTTATTTTAATTGTAAGTTTAAGTTGTTTATTATGTTACGTGTAAAGGAACGATGTTTGGTTGATACGTCAACATTAGTGATGAGCCAACTTATTGGTTGCTCGTAACTTTCGTCGAATTCAGGTTTGGAATGGAGAACAAAAATGATGATGAAGATGAAGTGTCATTATGCATCCACAAAACGAATGTTATTAATATAAATATCAAAATCAATTCAATCTAGACTGTTACATAGTACTTGTGAAAGTCGAAAACTTTACCAATGGTTCGCAAAACTAAGGCGGGAGATCTCTTACTGACAAGAAACGGCAAGAAACTTAGCAAGGGCTGCTTTTTTAATTTCAACTAAACAACTATACTATATTTGAGGGATCGTAACCACCTAACGCACACGATACCACCGCAGAGATTTTAAGAGACCATAACAACTCTAGGTACTTAGTAAATAATATATTTCAATAAAACGGATTTCTAGAGTAGGTTGTGTAGGAATTCAAATTATTATTAACAATATTATTGTAAGAACCAAAAAGAACAAACCCGCCGTACGAATTAACTTAACACATGGCTCGACGTCCGCCGTCGACATGCAAGATCAGTAGCAATATAATAACTGTACGTGTCTTTGACATTTGAAATTTAAAGTTACAACCTTGCTGTTCGTTTAGAGCAGACGTTTCTTGTTAATTGCTGAATGTTTATGTAATTATGAATATAAGATTTAATAACTGATAATAGTTTTATAAAGTCTTAATTTCGAAAGCACAAGTTATTTGCACGTTACACTTTGCACAAACGTCATTTTAGCCAGCAGTTATGTTATTTTGTACGAATATATAGTGTAGGGACACATATGCCTACATGTACATGTACAGTTTAGTTGTAAGATGTTTATAAACAATTTGTTAGCGTCTGTAGAACAAAGACTTTTTAACTAGTCGCTAATATACGGAGTTACAGAGTGAACGTGTTTTCTTATTTAACCTTCTGATAACATAAATAGGGTCCGACACTTAATACCCTAAAGTGGTGACCGGTGTTATGAACATTACGTTTTTAGCTGTTTTGAACATTTTATTTAATTAACATTTATATCACTTTTTTATTAAAAAGAGCAGTATAAACAATGAATCCACAAAATGAAAGTTCTCAAGCGCGTGTTTCGGAACACAACCCCGAAGTTAAGCCAGAGACTTCATCATCTTTGGACTCCATCACCATTTCATCGAGAGTTCCTGATTTTTGGGCAGACCAACCGCGACTCTGGTTTGTCCAATTTGAGGCTGTCATCCAGTCACAGAAACTATCGGACGCCGCTAAACAAAATTTAGTGGTTACTAAATTAAGTAAGTCTGCGATTACACAAGTGAGCGATTTATTATTATCACCACTAAGTGAGCACAAGTACCAGACCCTCAAAGATAGACTACTGCATGTATTTGAGGAGTCGGAGACGAGGCAGTTCCAGAAGCTTCTTGGTGAAATGGAGCTTGGCAGTCAAAAGCCTTCGCAGCTCTTACGGCGCATGAAAGATTTAGCCCGTGGGAAAATACCAGACGCGACATTACAAATCATGTGGAATAGCCACTTGCCACCACCAGTGCAAGCTGTATTGGCCGTTACACAGGAGACAGATATAACAAATCTGGCTGTAGTGGCTGATAAGGTCATGGAGGCCACTGGGCATTCCAATATAGCTGAAGTATCAACCAGCAGAAACTCCTCAGAGCGTGAGTCAAAAATTACATGTTCGGAGCAATCCGACCTGGCGACGTTGGTAGCACGTCTCAGCATAGAAGTGGCGGAGTTAAGGCGTTCTCGGCAAGCGGATCGTGGTAGACCGTGCAGGGGTAGGAACTACAGTGCTGGAAAAAGATTCAGTCGGGCACCGTCACAAGGTCGAGAGAGAGAGAATTCCAAAAACCGACGAAATACTAATTGGCTTTGTTTTTACCATTATCGGTACGGAGATAAGGCCGTAAAGTGCATTGAGCCCTGTAATTGGCGGAAGCCCAAGCCACAAGAGCCAGCGGAAAACTAAGTGCGATACGACCGGAGGCGGAGGTTGGTATCGGGTTATCGAATAACCGCCTATGTGTTAAAGACAAAAAAAGTGGACTGAAATTCTTAATTGACACAGGTGCGAACGTTTCGGTTATTCCGGCATCGAAAAAGTGCGTTTCCGATTACAGTGCGAGTGATAAATACAAACTATATGCAGCTAACGGAACCGAGATAAAAACTTATGGTATGCGTACTTTAATTTTAGATTTTAATTTAAGGAGAGCATTTAAATGGAATTTTATCGTAGCGAATGTTAAACAGCCGATAATAGGAGCGGATTTTTTAAGCCATTATCAGCTGTTAGTCGACATGAGCGCGCGCAAGTTAGTAGATCAAATTACACATTTAAATGTTCTCGCCTCTGTTGTAAGTCATAACGAATGTGAATTATCTATTAAAACTGTTTTAGGTAATAGTAATTGGCATGATTTATTGCTTTGTTACCCGGACATAACGAAAATAGTATCTTACAAAGAGACACCTAAACACTCTGTGTGTCATTATATAGAAACTACGGGCCCACCGGTATACGCTAAAGCCAGACCTCTTCCGCCTGACCGTTATAGGAAAGTTAAGGAGGAGTTTAGCCACATGTTGGAATTAGGCATTTGTAGGCCATCTAAAAGCGAATGGGCCAGTCCATTACATGTGGTACCAAAGAAAAATGGTGATATTCGGCCTTGCGGTGATTACAGAAAATTAAATGCCATAACAAAACCGGATCGCTATCCGATTCCGAGACTGCATGATTTTAAATATTTATTAGCGGGAAATAAAACTATTTTTACGCGGTTAGATTTAATTCGTTCTTATCATTTCGTACCGGTTGCCCCGGAGGATATTGAAAAAACTGCCATTATAACGCCCTTTGGACTGTTTGAATTTCCGCGCATGATCTTCGGATTACGTAACGCAGCTCAAACATTCCAGCGTTTCATGGATACCGTAGTACTACAAGGGTTAGACTTTTTATTCAGTTATATCGATGATCTTATTATCGCGAGCGAAAATGAAAGTCAACACAAAGAGCATTTAAAGGCAGTTTTCGAAAGATTTGATAAATATGGAATAACTATTAATCTATCTAAATGTGTTTTTGGTCAGTCAACACTTGAGTTTTTAGGATTTGAAGTGTCTACGGAGGGTGCGCGACCACTTCAAGATAAAGTACAGGCTATTGTAAATTTCCCGAAACCCGAGACAGTCGATCAACTACGCCGTTTTCTCGGTATGTTAAATTTTTATCGTGCACACATTCCAAACGCTGTTCAATATCAATTCGAATTGAATAAATATTTGCACAATACAAAAAAACGCGATAAAACTTTGATTGTGTGGACTGATAAGGCTGTCGAAGCATTTAAGAAGTGTAAGGAAAGCTTGCAAAGCGCCGCTACACTGTCTTATCCTTTACCAGATGCTAATTTAGCGCTGATGACCGATGCCTCGGATACTAGTGTAGGTGCTGTATTACAACAGAAAAATAACAACAATTGGCAACCATTAGGGTATTTTTCAAAAAAACTTTCACAAGCTGAAACGAAATATTCTACTTATGATAGGGAATTGTTAGCAGTATTTATGGCTATCAAATATTTTAAAAATTTAGTGGAAGGCCGTGTACTGACTATTTATACTGACCATAAGCCTCTCGTTTTTGCATTTTCAAAATTAAATAACGACAAAGAAAGCCCTAGAAGAATTCGTCAATTATCTTACATTAGCGAGTTTACCACCGATATTCGTCATATCAGCGGTGAGCAAAATGTAGTCGCAGATACACTTTCGCGGATAGAAACGATCAGTTGTCCTACATTACTCGATTTTAGAGAAATAGCTGAGCAACAACTTAGTGACGAATACCTACAGCAAGCGTTGCAAGCAACAGATAGTAAATTACAATTTAAACAAATATTATTGCCAGACTGCGAAAAATATATTTATTGCGAAATTTCATCTAACAGAATTAGACCATATTTACCAGATAAATTCAGGAAAATTGCTTTTCATTCGGTTCACGATTT